TGTAAACTTCCCTTAAACCGACAAACTCAAAAAGCTGCTTCTTATCAGCTCATCCAGAAATATAAGACAACTGTGGAGCACTTCCCTCTCCGCTAAGCAGGAAGCAGGAAGTTGGCACCCCTGTTTCTCTAACTGTGATAATGACTGTAAATGCCGCTTGAGAGATCTTACTGGTGGGTTTACATCTTTCAGCCTAATAACTACAGATTGCATATTTTGCTATTACTGATGAGCTCACTTTCTTAACGTGCTGGGTAGTCCGATAGACTCAGTGTTCTCTGCTGCATTAAAGTTGATGCATGAGTCAAGCAGACGGGATTATGATTTTGAAGTCACAGTGAAGTTTTTCTGTATTAAACCAGACCACAACCTTTCCCTAACCTTAACCAAAGCGCTTTTGTTGCCTGAACCTAACCACAGACAGGGCGCTTGATGTGAACCCCGGTCTCGTTGTGTGACAGTTGTGCGCTTTGTACTCCCGCCATCCACTCCAACCGCCTCCTGGCAACTCGACTGCCATTAATAAATGTAGCACTTCATTCGTTCAGAAAATACGTTGCCTCTGCACACTGACGAATGACGGTAAAGGGATACCCAGTGTGTTAAAAAGGTGATGCCAAGGGGTCCTGACCAAGCGGGGTTCCTAGCTGGCTTGCTACCATTAGCCACCACCTGGTTCACCTGGTTTTGTTTACAGTTGGAGGGTTTGTGAATGGTCTTCTGGAGAGTTGTCTGCAGTCACCAAGGAAAAGCTAGCTGCTGGATTCTCATTAAATCCCTCCAAACTGTACAGCTGCCTGCCTGTGAACTGTAATGTCTTGTTTTCTGTTCCTACATGTTTTAAATGCAGAAGATGTGACTCTGGACAACTGGACTGGACAGCTGTGCTGATTAACAAAAAATGATGTAATTAGTAATGTAATGCATTAATTAATGTAATTAATGTAATGTAATTCATTTTTCAATAAGTCATTTAATTAATTAGTCAGTAATTAGTAACTGATGACAGTTTTCAAGTAACTTGCCCAGCACTACACATACATGGATTTTGCTTAAAGGTACTTTATGTACCAAAATACATTATTCATGACACCGGTGGCCATTAAGTGAACTGCAGTTGATAGATGAATTAAGTAAACTTTAAATTATATTTGAGACCATAGACTATTTTTGACTCTCCAGTGATGGCACAGCACTAAAAAAAAAAAAAGGAATACAGAGATTGGTGTGGTAATGCGACTATTGACTTAAACTCAGAAAACCTTCCACCTGCAGTACCACACATCAACTAAACAAAGAAAGGAGATTGAAGACAACTAGATGTTCTTTGTGATGGATTACCTAAAGTATCTCTGACAAATTTCAAGTCTCTGCAAGTCGATTTTCATGTCATATTAGCATGAATTGAAACCCCTGGCTGCTGGAAAAATGCAGAAAATGCACTCATCCACCTAAAATGGGTTGGAGAGAAAAATACACTATTTTGAGTAAAGATGTTCTAACACATATTAGACCGCTGGAACAGTCCTTGGAGTGTGTATGATATTTATGTAAATATCTTAAAGTATTAACTTTATATGAATTATATATATATATATACTGTGTATATATATATATATATATATATATATATGCAGTCATGTCCTTTTTAGTAGATGTTTTCCATTCTCCAGTAGCTCTCATTTTGGCACAGAGATTTGTTTTTACGTTGCAAGATGAGTCATTAAACACATACACAGATACACACACACAGAGCTGAGAAAGCCATGGTAATCCCATGATGTTTTGGTTACTAGGATGACCTGGATGGTGCAATCCAATCAAGGGACCTCACAGGTCATGAATGAGAGCGGGAGGAAAATAAGAGATTGGAGGGGATTCAGGAGTGCAGGGTGAATGAGGAGGATTTACAGGAGGGAGATAAAATAAATGTTGGCGAATAAGTGAGAGAGAAGCAGAGACAAGAGGGAGATCTAATAACAGTGTGAGGTAAAGGGATAAGGACAGAGATAAGAGAGACGTGCGTCATCACTCTGCTCTCTGTAAAATCTAATTGAAGCAGTAGTGTGTGCACCATGTTTTACAGCTCAGGTGTAGTTTTGATTTGTGAGTGAGTGTTGGTATTGTGACTTGTTGTGTAGTGATGCACGTAGTGTATGAATCAGCCTCCAGAGAAGCGGTCATAACACTGTGTTGTATTACAAACCCCACAGCGGGCACTTGATCGCCTCTGTCTCAGCATGGTTTTATGTTTGTCCTCTGTGAAGCATTGTGGACTACAGGTAGAGATACCAGGGAGCTCCTCTTTAGTAACTGGCCATTTGTCACTGCAGCTTGAAATAATGTATTTTGCAAAGACTTTTTCAGTAGGAAGAGCACGTTGTGTAGAAGAGCAGAGCAAGCTTAAGAGAGGAGTCTGGTATTTTTTAGGTTCCTTATTGTCAACAAGTACTATTAAAAGCAAACCAAAAACATGTTTTAAGCTGCCAGTATGCTTTATCAGAAGTGCTTTTTGGATGGTCGAATAGCTTTGGAAACCCCCTACCCACATACCTTTCAGATTTCTGTTGAGAACAGCCTCATTTGGGTGTGGCTGATCAGATCAACTATTAACACTTTCAAATTCCGACATCGCTAGACAGAAAACTAGTTCTGCTCAAGCACAACCAACCTGTAGACTTTCTGACTTCCCCTATCCACACCCATTGGCTGCGACTGAAAAAAAATGTGCATTTTCTAAAACAGCTGCGAACTGTAGTTTTAGCAAATATGACTCAAGCAGTAGTAAATAGTGCATTTGTCAGGGACTGTTTTCAGCTGCGGATTAATACAAATTTAGGGCACCAGTGAGTATTTATGGCAGGAGGTTTTACTCAAAATAAACTACAACACCCATGTTCATTGCAATGAAGGAACATGTCGCAGGGTGATTTTTCTCTACAGTACATTGGCGCTCTATGGCACAGAGGAATAAGCTGTACCGGGTTAGGGCTACAAAGAAAACAACTGGCAGCAAGTTTTTGCTAGTTTTGGTCTTTTCATGGTATTTGTTGTCAAAAAGAAAACAGTCATCCTTTAGATGGTGACATCTCAGTGGAGGATTTTGCTCAACTGTTTGGTCTCATGGCTGCAGAAAAAGCCTACGAGTGTGTAAATAAATCACAGGTTTTATCTTATGCTTCATGACTAATGTGAGTACTAACCTCCTCTGAGTGACGGCACATGATACGTTTTCACCGTTACAACACCAACTCTTCCTCTTGAAGCATGAAACTGGCGCAGTGCTATACTGTTGTTCTTGCGAAACCTGTCAGAACTGGATGGAAGTGTTGTAGTGTTTCCCATTCATAGAATTTATTTGATTGGCAGAATTCATGTGCAGATATATTGATAGGAAAAATGACTTCCTTAATCTGTTTTGCTGTTTTACAGGCGGTTATCCAGTGTCAAATGTCAACGCTCTCCCCTTCCCCCCTTCAGGGTCGGCTGCAGGGTGTAAAACACTGCAGTGTATATAACAGCAATATGTTGTGGCATAAAGCAGCTTAAGATTTCTACTGCTATGTATAGTTGAACTGTTTCTGAGTGCAGCAGCAGAAACGAGTTTCTTGTTTTGAAAATTTATTTTACAGTCCTAACTAAAGGAGCTACAAATAGGCGACACCAGTAGTAGAGTTTTACATTATTTCTTCTGGAGAAGGGGTTCCCAAAGTGGAGATGTGTTCCATGATAAATACAAAGGGTTACAAAATGATTACACAGAGGAGAAACAAAAAAAATTGTTTCTCATCATGTCTCATAATGTTTTTTTTCTGACTTTTCTCAGATATTTGCTCTTTTTCTTGTGAAACACTGTACACCTCACCTCTTGAGGCCTCTAGAAATCCTTAAAAAGAAAGAATTTAAGAAGGAATAGTCAAAAGTAGATTAACAATTTCTATTTTATGGGGTTGAAATCTAAAATGTGGGGAGCCACTTTTGTAGAGAATCGGGTTTTAAGGAGAAAGTGTCAGTTTGCGAACAGCAGCACCCACCCACTGACTCATGCTTTCATTGCGAGGAAGCCACTCATTTAAAGTCAGAAATAACAGTGTAAGATTTGCCATAGCTCAGCTTGTCGGCCGAATGGCAGCATCAGATTCCCGCGCAGATAATGGAGCGTTATTGGAGCAAACAATGACAATGTTGGGTTAACACATGTGTAACTATAGACTACAGAGTCCTGTGGGTCCCTGGGGCAAAGAGAAACAGAATAATGAACAGAGTCCTGACAAACATGAGCTAATATGGATCCATGGCTTCATAAAGGAGGATATATTGCTCCTCGGGGACTGGAGCACCACCTTTGTGGTTGTGTGTGTGTGTGTGTGTGTGTGTGTGTGTGTCTGTCTCAGTGGGTGGTTGGACCACATTCTTGTGAAAGGGAGTGCTATCTGTCACACATGTTTGATGAACAGATTGAGCTTCAGCAGGATTCAGGAAATATCCCACGCAGATTCTTCCATTCACAGACAAGACACACACACACACACACACACACACACTTATACACACAAACACACACATATACATACATACAAAAACATTTGTCACATGTGATTTTGAATGATAAATTGTTACTTTTGTGATTGTTACTTGATATTTGTGTGTCCAGTGCAAAAGTACTCGTCCTGGCAGAGTTAAGATCATTATACCTGCTGTCGGATTAGGTGATGTAATGACATTGAATGTGTGTGTTAAAGAGTTATACAGTTATACAGCCTGCCAGCTCAGCCAAGACCCCCCCAGCCCCCACCCCCATACATTCAAAGCTAAAACAGGTGTGAACTTACATAATGCTTTTTAAAAAAAGCCTTAGCCTGCTTTCAGTGTTCATAAATAAGTAATAGCAGCAGCAGTGTGCCTGAATAAACACATTGTTATTGCTTACAACAGCGTTTCTAAATAATAACTGCTCATTCTCTCCTTCCTGCTCTTTCTCCTCCTTTTTCTTTGTGCAGGAGAAGCAAAAAACATCCCTCCATACCCGGGGCCAAACAGGATGAGGGACTGTTACTGCACTGTCAACCTGGACCAAGAGGAAGTCTTCAGGACCAAGATCGTCGAGAAGTCACTTTGGTATGCCGAGGGCCCTTTCACCCTTTTTCTACATCTAGCTCTTTTTGTTTCTCATCTTTTCAGTGTGTATACACAGAAATGTGAAATCATGAAAGTCAAATCAAAACTCAGGGATGATAATGTCATTTTTTGTGTAACTCGCTGCCTCCCCAGCTGATTGGCCCGGAGCATCAGGCCAGTGTTAAAAATGCCAAATGAAATAAATCTGAATAAATCAGATATCAGAAGAGAAAAGAATATGGAGCAGCCACATTCATCCAGTCTGGAGTGCACGTTGTCGAGCGGTGTGGAGAGAGAATAGACAGTGCAGGAGGAAGAGAAAAGGTGGAGCTGGAAGGGAGCACATTCAAAAGAGAAAATCCTGGAAGACAGTTCAGAAAAATTACAGATATGTTCAGGAGTAAGGGACACGGTTACTGTGTTTGCTTTAATGATTTTTTTTGGCATATTTCACCGTTATTGGACAGATGATAGTGAAGAAGCAGACAGGAAACAAGGGGAATGAGAGGGAATCAAACTGTGGATTTTGTGGTTGTCTGGCATGCACTGTAACCATTCAGCTACCAGGACACTCTGACATGGCAAGTGTCTCTCAGCACATCACAATATCACAACAATATCACGATTTTATTCACGGTTTATCTATTCTATATCTCTTTATCACGATTTTAAAAGCAGGGGATACGTATGCATGGAAATAATATAGTAAACAGAGACCTGTATACTCTCTGCTGTCAGTCAGAAGTACCTCCAGTTACTCAAAACTACAGGAGATTCATGATGATCAACACAAGTCCAATCAGAGTTCTGAGTAAATGCCAGGTGCAAAACAAACACTTCATTAATGCAGAGAAATTATACATATGAATATTTATTCATGTAGCCTTAATTATGGAAGTGCAAATGATGAAATCTTGATGTTTTTTTGTAGCAGTTTTTGTTTGTACTAATAAATCTGTGGGATTTTTTACTGGCATAAATACTAAATAGAAAAAATATATTTTTTAAAAAGGTTACTGTACATATACATGGTGTGTTGGGTGTGTGGACATTCTTATCATTCCATTCCGGCAGTGGTTTTAAGTATGGTATACAGTTTAAAGTATTTTGTTGTCTAAAGTGATGTTATTGAACTTTAATAGTATTTAAAGTATGTTTAAGATTTAGCATACCGTGAACGACACACTGAAGATGTGACGCAAATTTAAGATTTGACCAAAACTTAAAAAGTCACTCCAGTTCTCAGCAGATCCTGTATGTTTTATCACAGCATTGCATTACTTAAAGATTATGGATGGCTGAATAGACCTTTTTTTTGTTTGGCCAGGTTGATGAAGAGCTCATTCCTGCATAAAGTTGAACTACATGCTTTTAATGATCCTGTATTCATGGGATGGTTTGTAAATGCAGCCGTGCCTCTGTCTGTCTTTATGTCTACTGAGTAACAGAAGAAGTCAGTCATTGTTGGCAGCAGCCCTGGAGGCTCAGCTCACGAGATTCTCATTGCCGTGATTTCTATGGTCATTGTTTAGGTAAGGCAGAGTGTGGCGGTTGATGGACCTTCCAGCCACTGGTCACAAACAGGCCTACTGTTCAACATGGCAACATGTAGATACATGTGGTCTTTATTTTATGTCTGCTGAGTGGTTAATCGACAAATATATACAAACAAATAAAATTAGCCCGACATTTCAGATCTAAACTCTGCTGAAACTAAATGTCTCAAACTACATTTGTGTTTGTGGTAAAAACATGCTCTGTCAGACAAGAGGAGCATCTAATCACAGTTTGTCTTGTGTCTCCCATCACCTCCAGTCCGTTCTACGGGGAGGACTTCTACTGTGAGATCCCACGAAGCTTCAGACACCTCTCCTTCTACATCTTCGACAGGGACGTGTTCAGGAGGGACTCCAGCATCGGTGAGTAAACAGCTGCTCCGTCTGTTGTAAACTCATGTTTTCACACCCAACTGTAACCAAGCTTGGAAGATGAATCGAGACTCTCTTGATTCATGGTGAGTGTTTGGAAGGAGATATAAGCCACAGCAGGCTTCACTGAGATTTTACAGCAACTAAAGCATGTCAGGTGGCTTTTTACTTTTATGAAACAGCACTAGTGCTGCTGTGGTGTTATAAAGCATAACTCACAAACATTGAATGTGTTTAGCTTTTGGACTCTTGTCACTTTGAGCTTTGGAAAATATCATATTCTTGTTTAACTAATCTCAGACATTTTAACGACGAAGCAATTAACCTATTATACGAAAAATCAACAGATAAATTGATATTGAAAATAATTGTTGTTTCAACTCTAAAATGATTTTATCAAAGCAGTTTAGTCATTTCCATAGCAACTAATGTCTGCTAATGAGGCAGTTATGTCTATTTTCTATTTTACACTTACATTTAAAGTGGCTGTAATGGATATTTTATGTGTCTGATATGTATCAGATGTGAAAGGGAATTGCCATTACTTGGCTTTATAGTGAGTTTCAGCTCGTTGCATAGCAAGTGGCCAGAAACATGACTCCAAATGGATGATAACAAGCTAGAAGTGTAAATGAGCTTTGCTAACAAGTTCAACATACCAAGTTAAAAGCCGATAATATGTCAGTGTTGCTGCTTGGCCAAAAAAAAAATGCAGGTTTAATTTATGTCCATATAACATGGAGATTAAACATCGTAATTTAACATTTAGATCTGTAACAGTATAAATATTTTATATCTTAAAATATTAAAATGAGCCGTGGTCACAGGTGTGCATGAGTCAAATACGATTATATCACACTCAAGCAATCAGGCGTGAGGATATGAATGAATACTGACAAAATTACACACACTCACAGTAGGCTAGCTGTTTCCCCTTGTTTCAAGTCTTTATACCAAGCTAGGCGGGAGCTTGCTGTAGCTTCATATTAAACAGACAGATATGAGCGTGGTATTGATCTTCTCATCAAACTCTCAACAAAAAAGTAAAATAAGTGTATTTCACAAAATGTCAAATTATTTCTTTAGTGTCATTTAATGACCTTAGTTTCACTTTCAGTACAAAGTTTGTTTGTGTGTGGACAGATGTTTTAAGTGCTGTAATAGGTGTGTCAGTTGAATATTCATGGGTGTGTGTGTGTGTGTATGAGAGACCACAGACCACAAACTGAAAATCTCTCTCTGGGTGTGATTGCATCTTCAACACCATCACGGCTACTCTTTTTGTGTTTATTTTTGTGTGTGTGCGTGCGTGCGTGCATGCGTGCGTGCATGTGGGTGTAACTTGTTAGTTTCAATGCAGACATGACAGGATCATTTCATTGACATTGCACTTTGTTAGCATTTTTGCACCAGGTGCCTACGGGCATTAAAAAGAAACTGGTGTGTGGATTTATAGTACGTGAGCGGGCATGCGAGTGTGTGTGGGTGTTTGTCAAGCGTTTGTTGTAGCTGGCATCTGAACACTTAGTCCAGCACTTAGTCAAGTTATGTTTTCATCTCATTTTGTCGGTGTTGTGTGTTTATGTGTGCGTAGGCAAGGTTGCAGTGAAGAAAGAGGACCTGCAGAAATATCACGGCAAAGACACCTGGTTCCAGCTACAGCCTGTCAGTGCTGACTCAGAGGTTCAGGTCAGTACAGAGAAAACACACACACACACACACACACACACACACACACACACACATACACTCTCTCTCTCTCTTTCTCTCTCTCTCTTCCCCATAGAACTCTTACAGGGCTGGATATTAACCATCCATACCCATACTTTTTGATAACATCCAAAATGTGCCTGGTTGATACCAAAACCTGGCAGAGAGAACCAGGCCTTTATATAGCTTATGTTAGCTTATATTTAACACTTCCCCTGCATAAATTATATGCACAGATGTATATGAGTGATGGTGTGTCTGCATGTTAATGTTTGAAGCAGGGAAGAACCCAAACAAACACAGCATGTGTGCACCTGAAACACCTGAGTGTGCAGGGTCAAAGTAACCCGGTATGCTGTAAAATCCCATGCCCGCTCTAAAATCCCCATCGCAGTTCAGTTTGTCATCGACCGGTCATTTTCCACATTCTCACTTGTTATGAATGAATGACAGCTGGCTGTGGTAGATGGTGAAGTATGTGGTTTTGATTTGCAGAAATTTGCAGAAATTATTTACAGAAATATGTTCATGGTGGTAAACTCAGACCGAGGCAAATCATTCACATTGTTTTTGGGAATATTAGGAGGCAGTCCTGATTGAAATGTTCACTTTTAATTTCAAATGTTGATTGTTCAGTCTGAGTGTTTGCACAGACACAGACTCCTCACAATGATGATGTAAGTGAATTAAGATGCCTCTATAGATGTAGTTTACAGTAGCTTTGTTAACACTGATGTCTCAAATGCTGGAAAATTAATTTCCTTCCCTTCTACTCAGCAAAATGGAGGAAGTTTTCAGTCTTCTGCTGTGTGTGACAGTGCAACAAGTAAAGGACAGTCTGCACAGTTCATGGATGCATTTACAAATGAATTTTTTTCTTTTTCTGATTGTCAGCTGTTTTATCTGCCATGCATGTAGCACCTTCCAATGACTATTTGACCCAAGTTATGGAAGAAGTGTATTCTTAGCTACAGAGAAAACTGTATTGATTTTTGTTACAATATTGATTTAAGTGATTTATTTATAATTTCAGAAATATTCCAGTAATCAGCTATGGAAGTGCATTTTTTGCACTTGTCCTACATGCTTATTTAATACATGTGTAATATTTTCTTCTATTCACTATTCAGTTTCACTCACCCACATGCATGCACAGATAGGAACGCACACACCCAGCACATAGTACCACACACACACACACACACACACACACACACACACACACACACACACACACACACACACAGAGTGAGAGACACAGTGAACAGTGAACAGTAACATCTGCAGACAGATGGGTGTGTGTAGCCCTGGAGCAGGGATCTGAAACAGAGACACATTCATCCGAGGAGCCGGGGAGAGGAAGGATGTGTGAGAGAATGACAGAAAAGAGAGAAAAGCGAGGGAGAAGGATCAAATGAAGTAGGAAGATAGAGTGTCTCTCTTCTCTTTTCAATAGAGGACGCATTGTTTGACCTGTGCGCACATGTGTAAGTGCGTGTGTTTGTTCCCTCTGCTTGAATCGGACAGAAAGAGCAACGCCTGTGAGTTTGCATACTGATGCTGTTAATTAATGGAGCTTTTCTAGACAGCTGCACCACTACACTGTCATTATGTCATTAATCCAATCACTTCAGAGAAAATATAACTTCGGCATGATGTTCAGTTGGTGGAGAGATGCCACTTTTTCATGTTTGTTCACTTTTGTCTTGTACAGAAATTTATCAGTGAAGAATTATTGTTTATCTGTGTGTTTTTGGCTTATACATATGAACAATGGATCAGCTGTTAAAAAACTATTTCAACTATCTCCTACATTATACAGTATATGCAGCACATAAGATATATGATATTACTATATATTTGTGGTTTTGATTTTTGGTACAGTGTTTGGTGCAGTTTGCCACAGAATTAGATTCTATTTGTGTCAGCAGTTGACATGGGGCGGGTTTTCTATTGTGATTGGCTAGTGAGCTCAGTTTACTCACATGCACACTGCACTCATGTACACTGCACTCATGCGCACCCCAAAAGACTGGCTCGCAGAGTGGGCCAGGAGAGAGACAGACAGGGCCGGTAACTTAATGGATTTTTTGGCGGTCCACCGTTGCAAATGGATTTCTCCAGGTGTTCCCAATGGCTGGTCAGACAGATGACCAACAGGTTCGTTGTTAATTTGTTTCTGAGAGAGATAGAGAGAGAGAGAGTGGGTCAAGGAAGGGCTTAAGGAGGGGCTGAGTGAATCAATGTGCGGGGGCTGTGCACAGCTCAACAATGAAATAAGATTTTACCCATTTGAAATCGTGAAAAAATAGAAAATCAATATGTGGTGATGAATGTTGATATCGTGGTGGGTCACCACTAATAAATCTATGTATAGGAAACACTGCGGTAGTACAGGGAAGTTATTAGCTGACTTTTAAATCTAAGAACAAAGCAGCTGGATTCTTCACTGTCCAATGAAAACCACATGTTGATTGTTGAGTTGAGACCTGTGTGATTATTCGTGGTGAGAGATAGATTGTCACCAGGCCTAAAGCAAGTTTGAAGAGCTGACATTTTAGATTGGATTAGGTTGCACATTGTTCAAATTCACATACCCACTGAATAAATTGGAAATACAGTGTTTTTCACTGGATGGCGACCACTCTGCCTGTCACTGGGTACCTGGCTGTGTGACGACACTGGTGCTGAAATGTTCATAGGTATTCTTCTGGTTAGCACCCAGAACTTTCTGTATTCCCATTGGAAAAATGTGTGATTCATAAATAGTGTCTATTTGTGTGTGTGTGTGTGTGTGTGTGTGTGTGTGTGTGTGTGTGTTACAGGGGAAAGTGCACCTGGAGCTGCGTCTGAGTGAAGTCATCACAGACAGCGGAGTCATCATCCATAAACTAGCCACACGGTGAGGCTACACACACACACACACACACACACACACACACACACACACACACACACACACACAGAGTACTACATTTCACATGCATTATGTTATTTATACATAACAATACCATGCATTGTTTTTATTTGATGTGTCTGACTTACATGTTTAGAAAGCAGAGGTTATGTAAAGAGAAAAAAATAGAAGAGGAATTTCTTTACCACATTCTGTAGTTGCAGAAAGTAATTCTCTTGGTATTTACGAAAAATACACATTTGAACTAGCAATTCACTGCTTTATAATGATATAACTAATATAATTGGTAAAAACTACAATTAATAAAGACATACTGTAACTTCTTGTCAGCTGCTCCACCCCGTGTTGAAGGCTATGAGATGATGTTAAGTCTCCAAGAAGCGGCCTTAAAGGTCCTTAAAGGTGTAACGGTATTCTTGTAAACAAACAAAGTCTGTTTACAAACAGTTTGTTTACATTCATTGTTTCTTACCAAAAGACATTGTATGTATCTTTGAGGTCTAACAAAAGTGTTGACTTCATTCCTCCCTCATCAAACATTCGCAAAGCAATTTTTTTGGAACTGGTTTACATCCATGTTTTCTTGCTAGCAGTCGTCTTCTTCTTCTTCTTACCTTTGTTGGCATGTTACTGCTGCCTAACTGTATATCAGTTTGTGAATCCATTGTGGGTGTGGAAGTCATGAACTCATAAAACTGCTCTTACAACATTGTTTCTCTAAGTGTGTGTGTGTGTGTGTGTGTGTGTGTGTTGTCATGTGTGTAAAATGTGATTGTACACACATGTGATGTGTTTGTATTTGCAGGCGATCAATGATACGCTTGTGGATGGATTGGATTGGATGTATATGTGTGTGTGCTTGTGTGTGCTCTTCCTCTGTAACATGCAGCAGTGAAGTCTGATGATGAGCCAGCATGGCTCCGTTCCCAGAGCACATTGTGGGTAAGGAGCTTAGAGCGCAGAGCAGGAGGTCATCTAGTCAGATTTCTCTAGAAAGACACGTGTATGAGAGAGACCAACTGTGTCCATTCAGCTCTACGGATGAAACTAACCGTCTGAAAGAACCTACACACCACGGCACACTTATCTTTATTTACAGCTTTGTACAAGTCTTGAATGAAAATATGTTTCGCGTCAGTCAAAGAGCTGCAGCTTCATTCACAGTGTGTTCACTATCTCGCACATCTCACACAACCTCCTGCTCGAACACGTCTTTGCAGTGTGGGAAATTGTTTTCTTCTCATGGCAGTTTGACAGCATTGACATAAATTATTCAAAAATAACAAAGAGGAAAATGTAATTTCTTAAGTACTATACTTATACTATACTATATTATATTTCCATTTCATTCTACTTTTTACTTCTGCTCTCCACTACATTTTATAAGAAAATATTGTCACTTTACTCTTCTACTTTGCTCTCACAATAAATGTTATTAGTTAATATTAAAACATACAAAACATATGATGAACTCATAAACATGATTCTTCATTTTAGATTTAACTACACCCAGGTTGTCATTTCAAAAAAGTTTTGTACACCATAAAGTCTTAGTGACAGTTTCATAGGATCAAACACTCTTGCCTTGCAAAGAAAACCAAAGAATCTCACACACTGTCCATCACTTGAACTCATTTTATTAAGGCGACTTTGGTCCTCAGGCCCTAAGGCAAAATACATACAGACAAAAAAACAAAATGTCTTCTTAATAAAGTGAGTGCAAATGATGAACAGTGTCTGAGATTCTTTGTTTTTCATAGCAAGTACTTTTACTTTCAATACTACTGCATTTTTCAACCAATACCTCTGTACTTTTACTTTAGTAATAGAGAGCCCTGCTCTGATCATATAGCATTGTGCTCCTATAACACTATTGGACTCATGATGGACAGCCACAAAAGCCTTTATACAACCCCTTCACATATGAATGAAGTACTCCCCAAGACCTGTAAATAGACTTTGATGTGTAAAAAATTTATAACATTTTGGATATAATGGTCTACCAAGTCTGGTATTAAGTTCAAAAATCCAAATACCTCTTCTACCACTGGAAAATGCCGACAGACTTACACGTAGATGATTGTGCAATATCATAAATGACATCTGGGAACAGGAAGCATCTTATTACCAAAACTGTTATCATTTATTTCATTTCACTTACATGGAATACGTCACCCGTCAGGGATGCTGACTCATAATCACATCCGCTTTTTGTGTGTTTTGTGTGCTTGTTTGTTTTTTTGGACTATGGTGGACCATGATACAATTCATTTCCGTCTTATGTGAGTGAAATTGTTTTTGACAGGATACGTGGGCGCAGAACAGAAGCGCATTAACCCGATATGAGTAATGTCGACTAAAACAAATAAGTCTGCTTCTCACTACCACTGTCTGGCATGTCAGAGCTCACAGCGGCAACGGGGGACAGGGACAGGGAGAGGGCTGGATAGTAGGCCAAGCAGGGGTTATATAAACAAGCTTATTGGACAGGAAGCGCTCTGGTATTAGTGATGCTTAACCCAGCCCACTCCTTATTCCTTATTAGGAACCTGTGTGTGTGTGTGCGTGTGTGTGCGTGTGTGTGTGTGTGTGTGTGTGTGTCAGCGGGCAAGCTGTTGCATGTGTGTCAGTTCAGTTGTGGGACGCGCTGCGATTTGCTGTGTAATTCATCATGCGGTGTGACTAGCGGTGCATCACCATGACACACAGGAAGTGATTCGTCCTGCTGGGTGTCCTGTCCTGTTTGGGTGCTAATCCCCTTAGAGCATGATGTCATTGGGCAGCTGGGTTATAGATAGATAGATAGATAGATAGATAGATAGATAGATAGATAGATAGATAGATAGATAGATAGATAGATAGTAAAAAGGAATTTCTGTAGAACTAGAAGAGAAAGGTCAACAAACTTTTTTTCTTCCATTCTGCTCTTTTCTTCCTCTGGTGCTCAGAGATCCTTGAGTCCTACACTTTAGGATCAAGTCCTTGACCATAGAGTCAGGAGTCTGTCCATTTTCCTCAAGATGTGGTCTCTTCTGGTTTTTATTTTGTTTTTCTCTGGCTTCTCTCAAGTGGTCTGTAGTTGCTGGATCATGCAGGGTTTTAAAACTGACACAAGTCTTTGCCAACAGCTCAAACGGAATGACTTTCCTCCATTTCTTTTCATCTGCCCCTCTTTGTGTGTCCTTCTTACATACATATACATCTAACATTGACTCAAGAGGCCATTTTCACATGTTGAGAAAACTCTCAGAGAGCTCTCATCTTACTAGCAGGGATCCTCCAGTGTAGGAGTGAAGTAGAATATGAATGGACCAGATGTTTTATGTCCGTGAAAAGGGGGCGGCAAGACTGAATTACTTGATATGATGTGGTCTTTAAAAATCAACATGCCTCTTTCAGCCACTTAAACACTCGATTACTTGTGTTAAAAAGTAAAGGTTAATAAAATATTATATAAAATGTTAAAAAAAATCTATTGGATAGCAGCATTTGCAAAAAAATGTCGTCTTCCCTGATAAAAACTCGAGGGTACAAGACGTTAACTACGATTCTCAAAACATCCAATCACCAAGCTGGAAATTCTGTCATGTGAGCTGCCAACAAGCTAAAGATGACAGTGCTGAGAAAACGTAAAAGACACTATACAGCGTAAATAAATTCACTTTTAAATTAAGGGTCAGCAACTATGAATGCTCATGGGTATTGTAGTATTGTTTCTTTAGAGGCTTGTATACTAGAAATAGCTTCCTGTTCTGTTGAACTGTATTGGGCTGTTGCTGAGACTAGTGAGACTCTCGCTGTCTGTGTGGGACGATGAGCCTAAAAGCTTTGCAGAGGTGTAGGATTGGGTGTCAGTTCTCAGTGGTCTTGACAGCACTGGTGACCCTTTCACATCAGTCATTTGATTAAGCGATAATATAGAGCTTAACAGAGCTTAAAGAGTCCTCTGGGAGGATATTCAGATTGTTCTGTGCGGCTTGTGGCATTTGGCATTTGAAGATCTTTTTATCCTGTTCCCGTTTAATGTGCTGCCTTTTTTTCCCTTTGCCTAAAAAGAGCTAAGTTAGCTCCTCCTAACATCTTTATAGTAATTGTCTATATTGGTGTAAATAGTAGTTAGATAGTTTTTTTTATCCCTGGCATCTGGCGATAGGGCGAGGATGAGATCACACAGGGCTGATGGTGCATTAAAATTAGCACCATGTTAATGTGTTACAGGTGTGTGTGTGGGTGTGTGAGCAAGTCTATGCATATACAGTAGTGTGCTTATTCATTCATGTCTGCTTTTTATGTGTTTCTACAGAGTGCTGGAGTGCCAAGGTCTTCCAATTGTCAACGGCCAATGTGATCCCTATGCTGCTGTCTCCTTATTAGGACCTTCAAGGTCCTGATTTCACCAGTCACCATCCACAACTTTGTTTCATCACGTTTAACTTTGGATGAACATGCGATCTTACATCTGTCTGCCTTCCTGCCTCCACAGGTCAGATGCCAAAAAGACCAAGGTGAAGAGGAAAACCAACAATCCACAGTTTGATGAGGTTTTCTATTTTGAGGTAAAGGTTTCCTGTATTTCATTTGTTTAGTTTAACATCAACAAAGCTTATAAACCTGAAGGTGTGTTTTCATGTCAGGGATCAGTCAAAACCAGAGTGAGGGTTCATAAACACCCTATATGGCCAATAGTATGTGGTGGCCTGAACAATACACCCAAAAACAATGGGCATTTACTGTACATGTTGCTGTCACATCTTTTGGTGAGACTTTTCGACCTCACAGCTTTGTGCACATTGGCACTGTCATATTGAAACACAAAAATACCCTCATCAAGACTATCACACTGCTGTCTAAAAGATCATTCTTCTGTAGCTAGAAGATTTCTCTTAATTGGACCTAAGGGGCCAAACCCAAACCATACAAAATGGCCCCAGGCCACAAGTGCATAAGAACGTAGGGGAAGTGGTGTCATACTTTTGGCTACATTTCCAACCACAGAGAAGCAGTTTGTACAATATAAAATGGTTGCACACAGGTGGTTTTACTTATGTTGCCTACTCAGAGCGTGTGGTGTGCTCCGACTACACTTGATTGAAATCTCTCTGACAGTCCTATTATTTTTGTTAAGTTACACCTTCATCTTTCTTATTGTTTTGTTTTGTCGTCACAGCTCTATTCACTTTCAACCTGAGCAGGAATCTGATTAGAAGTAGCACAAACACATGTGTGAGGTGTGCAGGACCTTTAATAACCAGAGTGACTGATCACATGTACTGCTTCTGCATTTTTTATGTTGTGACTTTGGGGTTAAAAAGTTCTGTGTACTGTCATGAGTGATTTTGAAATATTGCGGTTTAAAGTTTTCATGAAGCTGACATGCAGTAAAGCTGAAAACAATGTGAAATCGTCTGCTGTGCGTTTTATTTTTCTGATTTTCTTCTTAAAAACATGCCACAGTTAATGTTTATTTCATTATTTAATATTTATAGAAATTTTTTTTTGCACTAGCCCTACTCACAAACTCACTCTCACATTACTACTACTGTAACTGTTGAGATTCATGAGATAAAAATTAACAAAAGCAACTGGAATTGCAGTATGTTTGTTTCTCTGACATTATAAAAACATTGCCACTGTTTGTGTTAATTTATATTCATTAGTTTATATTTATAGATAATTTTTCACACACACATACACAACATGCCTTTCACAGTGCCCCCGTTAATCCTCGCTCACTAGCAGCACTGCTCTGACATTTTTGTTTCGCTCCTCCCTCTGGCCTCCAGAACACAGCAGGACAAGAGTATGATTGATTCGGACAAACCACCAAACAATCTGGCCCATTGATTTCTGTCCGACAAGATCGTCTCATTTATTCCCAACCACCACATGAACAGGGCTGCGCATACCCTGTGGTGCTTTCTGCCTGCAGCCCCCACCCCTCTGTGTCGCACACAGAGCCCCACATCCACACGCAAACACAGGCCATTTATCACATTTTTGTCATGTGGTTGTCCTTTTTTTTTTTATTGTTTCGAATTTTATTTTCTTATTGCTCCAAACCTACATGGGCCCTGCCGCATTCAGATCTGTGGCAGTTCCCCCGAGTTTGATTTGGCTCATGGCTCATTTCGGCTTAATTAAAGACAAAACAACTATTTATCTACTAAAGTAACAGGTTTTCTATAATACAAAAGGGGCTTCATATGCTTTGTCATGTCAGTTTTATTCATACAGCCGAATATCCCCAATCACAAATTCCACCGGCTCATTTTTCGGGATGTATTTGACTGTGCAGCTCAACAGGACGAAATACCGGCTCCTAAATCTTTTATGCTAAATGTTTACTCCGTCTCTATTTCTAGGTGACACGGCCATTAAGTTACACCAGGCGGCAGTTTGATGTTGAAGAAGAGGACGTTGACAAGCTGGCGCTCAGGTGAGACAGTACTGTCAGGATCAGTGCTGAAACTTGGTGTCATTGAAGGCATCTCTCACGTTTGAACTATTTTCCCGTGGTTTGTGTTCAGGGTGGATCTGTGGAACGCCAGCAACCTGAAGTTCGGCGATGAGTTCCTGGGAGGTGTGCGGGTTCCTCTGCGGGTCCTGGGTCAGTTTGGGGTCCACGATGCATGGTGAGAGGAATATCACTGACACATCACATCATCTAATTACATTTTCTCAAGTACTGCACCTAACTACAAATTTGAGGTACTTGTACTACAATTCTGTTTTACGATGCTTTATATTTCTACTTCACTACATTTCAGACAGAAATATTTCACTTTTATACTTTTATAAGACAGGTGAAGTTACTAGTTGCATTTTTTCATTTAGAAATATGACAAGATTAAAAAATACAACACACTGTATACTTAATATATCTATGTCACCCAATCATCATCTCTCATTTATCTTGTGACCCTTTGAAGGGGTCTGACGTTTAATTTGGGAACCACTGGACAAAACTACCTTAAGTACCTACCTAAAGTAATGAGAACTAGCTTCACAGTAAAACGCTGCTTACACATTAATGCATTAGTATTAACAATCTAATAATATCAGATAAAATCAGATATCAGTCGCAGGAGAAACTTACAACTTTGATACTTTAAGTACATTTTGCTGATAACACTTATGTATTTTTTACTTAAGTGAAGTTTTTCATGCATGCCTTTGTAAAAGTAATAAAGTATTTTACAATGAACATTTTCCTGCTTTAGGTACTTTCTCCAGCCGAGGGAGAATGGAGGGAAGTCAGTGAAGGTAGAAGAGCTTGGCTCTCTACGTTTGAACATCGTTTACACTGAGGACCACGTCTTCCCCTCCGAACATTACACTCCCCTCAGAGATCTACTGCTGTACTCTCCTAACGTAGAGGTACTGTCTGTTCATATGAATGTGTCTCTGCTCTGCTCAGACACGTCGTATTTTTGTATCTTGCAGCACCTTGACCTGCTTCATCGTCACTGTTTGAATGCAACTTCTGTACTCCTTTTCCTCTCTGTTCAGCCTGTGTCTGCGTCCACGGCTAATATCTTGGGGGAGGTGTGTCGAGAGAAGCAGGAAGCTGCCATTCCCCTTGTGCGTCTCTTTCTTCACTACGGCAAGATCGTGCCTTTCATCAGCGCCATCGCTCATGCGGAAGTCAACCGCACACAGTGAGTGTTGCATCTTTAGTTTTACAGCTTTACCTAAGAGTCCAGCTCATTTCCTGTTGTGTGGCTATCCTATGAATTGCATTCATCACAACAGAGAAAGATGCTGATTTTTTTTCCATATTAGGAATACTTTGTTTTTGTAGCTTTAGCTTTGTTAGCAATACTAAAGTAATAATAAAGTACATTTCTTCAACATAAGCCAAGTGAATGTGGTATATTTGGGATTTAGATTTAATTTTGCTGCTAAATTAGTTTCAGATCTATCACCGTGGTTAGATTTTTTTTTTTTTTTTTTTTTTTTTTTTTTAGAGATTATTAATTGAAGTGACTGTAGGAATTGGGTCATCAGGTTTTATGCGAACATCACCAAGCTTAGCATTTTGACCTGACTGTTGAAATATATGCCACCACTGTAATATAATTTACTTTGGATGTTAAATGACTGATTTGTTAATTTTGACATGCTTTGGTGTCTCATTTTGAGACACAAGCTGTAGTTTAAATTTGTACTCAAAAACACACTTTGCCTCCTTTTATTAGGGATCCAAACACCATTTTCCGGGGAAATTCCCTGACTTCCAAGTGCATTGATGAGACCATGAAGCTAGCAGGAATGCACTATCTGCAAGTCACACTCAAACCCATCATAGATGAGGTAAAACACTGCAATACTCCCTTTTTCTTTACTCGCAGTATTTGTCTCTCTTAGTTTTACCAAATTCCAGACTCTTTTTTTATATCTTGATTGAATTAATCTCACATGTCTTTCTCTGTGGCACATCTAAGGATATGTTGGAAAATCAATTACCAATTGACATTTTAATGCTTTTCTAAATCTTCACAGATCTGCACAGAACACAAACCCTGTGAAATCGACCCAGTCAAACTGAAAGAGTCGGAGAACCTGGACACAAACAGAGTAAGAAGACGAGTTTATGTTTTTATTTTTATTTCCATTGCTGTCCGTGTTATCTGACACCTCTGCCCCCCCCCCCAGGAAAACCTTCGTCAGTATGTAGACCGTATCTTCAACGTTATCACCACCTCTGGCGTTCGCTGTCCGACCGTCATGTGTGATATCTTCTTCTCTCTGAGAGAGTCTGCTGCCACCCGTTTCCAAGGTAACTCGCCTCCTGAACGAATCACAAGGGATAGAAGAAAGGCGCTAATAAGGAACAGGAAACGGACAATAAAGAACAGGATGTGCAAGATGTCCAAGGACGCTCGGGATCACAGAGAGGCTTTTTGTGCTCTGCTATTTGAGTCAAAACTGAAACCACTTAAGCCTCCTACACACTTATTATGGTTATGCCTCTGCTATACAATATGTACACCCGGTGTCATATACTGTGCTGCCTCCTGTTGGCTGGCACAGGGCACTGCAGTCAGAGGAAGTATATACTGTATGATCAAAAATGAGAAATTATTTAGTTTTTATTTCTGTGTCATTTCAAACACCTGGCCCATCCCACATGGGATTACAAAACACCCTTACTTTTACAAAACATGCATCTCCTGGTGATACATATACAAAAAGATCAGTTACAACATATAACATATGTATGTGTACATCAAAAATAACTGGTACAAGCCCACAGTTTATCCTGATAAAAGGCTGTTCTCCCAGGCTTTGTGCGTCATCCATATACACAATCAATATCTGTTTTTATCTTTCTAAACAAAGTAGTGTGCAGCTCCTAGTAAAAAGGACGATAGAAAATAAAATGGAACTCATTTTCTGTGTCATTCAGACAGCACATTTAAGAATATTCACTTGTCTTCTTCCGGACTGACTGTGTCTGTAATATCTTAGGTGTAATTTAAGCAGGTATCTCTGTTTCTGATTTTGTTTTTCTGCTCTGTAGTTGACCAAGACGTCCGATACACAGCAGTGAGCAGTTTCATCTTCCTGCGTTTCTTTGCTCCAGCCATCCTCTCCCCCAACTTGTTCCATCTACGGCCACACCATCCAGTGAGTCTGATATTCAAATCAAAATATGATCACACATGCAGCCGACATGTCATTCATGCCATCAAAAAACATCCAGTAACTGTGTTGTTTTTATCAAAGAAGGACAAGAACAGATTGCAAGGTGTTAACACCCTCAGCTCAAAATTATTGGCAAAACACAAAGATGGCTAGCACAGCTTAATATGAGCCCATACATGATGTCCTCTATGGACACTTTGAGCTAATGCTATCAGGGATGTCTTTTAGATTGCCTGCATGTAAAACAAACAGAAGGGAGTTTGGTTTTATTCCAGAAGCCATTAGCGTTGTGAACAGTACACACAGTACAAGAAACGGTTAGTTTACCTTGTGTATAGACTGATAAATGCACCTGTACTTTTGACTTGCACTCTTTGTTTTTGTTGGTAAGTTACAGACAGGCCATTGTTATAAATCTGTGTGTATTTTATATGTGTAGTTTTGTGGAATAGTTGATCTTTCAAAACGTGATTTATTTAGTTGTAATTCATGTCTTTTCGTGTCCCTATAGGATCCTGCCACCTCACGAACCCTGACCCTCATCTCCAAGACGATCCAGACCCTGGGAAGTCTCGCAAAGTCAAAATCTGTGAGTTTCTCTGCTCAAAGTGCATTTTTCCATTTTCACTCCTGTGACTAAACTAGACTTAATTTCTATTTCAATCTGAACGCTTAAATTAAATCACAACTTACTGATGTTTCTCTCTGTGTCACTCTTTCTTTCCATACTTTTATTTATTTATTAAGGCCAATTTCAAAGAGTCGTACATGGCTGCATTTTATGACTACTTCAATGAGCAGAAATACGCCGACGCTGTGAAGAATGTGAGTGTTTTGCTTCCTACCTTGTTACATTCAATAAATGGCGTCCACTTCATGGACACACAATCAGATAAATGGATGACAGACATTTGAGAAGAACTGAAAAAGTGAATAGAGAGATATTAAAGCCTCGTATGACAGTGAACAAAAGTAATCATCACAGTAAATATGTTGATAAATGACATCCTCTCCTCCTCTCTACAGTTCCTAGACCTGATCTCCACGTCTGGCAAATGGGATCAGAAGAGTATTGAAACACCAATCATGCTCAAAGAGGGGTAAGGTACCAACTTATTGTGATGCTAGTGGAAACAAACACCCCAAGGAAAGAAACACACATTTACCTATAAACAGCTCTGTCAGTACGACATATGTGGTATTAGATTAATTTAGAGAATTTATGGAACAGTAATTTCAGATTTGAGAGTTTAGAGATTCTGTCTTGTGCACTGTGGCTGTTACCACAATGTCATTCACCTTTTTACTTCTAATTACGCAGCTTCAGCGTTTGTCTGGCTGTCTTGGTTTTTGTTTCTAGCTTAAGACAAGGCAGCTGAGTTGACTATTAAGGCTGAACTGTCCAGAATACTTTTACATTTTGGGAAAATTTCCTTTCTGGCGAAGAGTTAGATGAAAAGATTGATGCCACTCACATATGTACGGTAAATATAAAGCAAAAGGTCGGTGAGCAGCTGCTTAGCTTATGCTGCATACATGTCTTTTGTTTGAACAAAAAAAAACTATAAACATATAAACAAGCTGTTTTCAGAATGGCTGCAAATGCACCATTAAAATAAAATCCATTGTTAATGCTAAGCCAGGCTAGCTGTGTCCCCCTCATTTCCAGTCTTTATGCCAAGATAAGCTAACCAGTGTGAGAGTGGTATCAATCTCCTCATCTAACTGGTCCTTTAAGTTGTCACTAAAGTGAAGCTGGACTTCAACTGCACATCCGTGACCCTTCATGGTCCAGTTCATTTCCAAAGTGAACAGTTACAGTAACGATACACCTGAGGCTGTAAACTGAGCCCTTTCTGACAACACACACGCTGTTGTTTTGACGATATTTCTAATGAGGCTGTAAAGGGGGGGAGAGTTTCCAGCTGATAGTAGTTGTGCCAGTGCCTCGCTCATCAACATCCCCACCCTCTTTTGTTTCTGCAACCGGGCGTAGGAGTGTAAAACTCACTATAAAGAGGGTTGATGGGAAAGGGTCAAAAGGCACGAAGGGCAGGTAAGAGCTTCTCTATATAAAGGCTTTGCCCTTGTGACCCCCTGTGTGTGCCCCGTAACCCCCTCCAAACCAAGCCGGCCATTTTCTCTCCCACCAGCATCATGCACTACTGTAGATGCTGCTGCACTTTACTTTATATCTGGCCTATACACAAGCAACCTATTAAGCAACTGTTATACTGTCTGTCATCTTTCTGGATTTACATGGCAGTAGGCTGATGCATACAGTGACTGTAATGGTATAAAGTAAAGTGTTAACCTTTAAGCCTGCTTACCTAGGGAAGCGTCAATAGTGCTGATAGCCCTTCTCACTCCTCGCCATACCAGACATGCTTGGTGTGACAGTGACAGCAGGGGTTGGTTACTGTACAAACATTTCTGGGATTTCATATCTGCCCGCACCCTGACCCATAATGCCCTACCCTAGACTGTGGCCATATCACTACCATACACATTAGAGTTTCCAGCTCAGCTCCAGGCGTTATAGCAGATGTGAAACCAGCACTTTCTTGGCACCGCAATGTGAGAAGAGTACAAGTCTTCCTGTGGGAGAATAGTAGCTTTAGTGTTTATAACCCTGGTACCTCATATTCCATGTATCGTATGGCCCTCAAACTCTGAAACAAAGACACCCTGACGTTTAGTCTCCTTTAAAGGACCATATCGGTGCTTTTACATGTTGTACCTCACACCACTGTCTAAACATTTTCTAAAGCGTACCATAATTTTTTAGATTGATTTCAGGTTGCAGGCAACCATTGGTTCCATTTATTTCATTACAGTGTGAAAATTAACCTACAGATATTGCAAACTTCTTGATATAGCAAATCTATCATAATGGACTTGTTGATGTATTTATTTATTTTTTTGGAAAGATGTTGCAAGCTCAGTAGCGCTGCATCCATGGGCTTTTGGATTTAGTCAGACAATCAAACCCAGAGATTAAAAAGTAATCAAATATGAACAACATCCTTGATGAAAGTTTAATGTGTTCTTTTCGGGCTGCAAGTAATGATTATTTTCATCGTCAGTTAATCTGCTGATTATTTCTTGGATCGGTCAGTCAATTGTTGGCAGAAAATGGTGACACGTGATCATCTGAGTTTCTCAAAGTCCAGTGTGACACCTTCAAAAGTCTGGTCCAACCAGCCGTCCACATATCAAAGATGTTCAGTTCACAATGATACAAAATGCTCACGTTGGAGAAGCCGAACCAGACAATCTTTTGGCATTTTTGCTGAAAAGATTATGAAAAATTATTAATTAGTTATCAAAAGAGTTGCTGATCATCTTTCAGTGATCAACTAATTGATTAACTGAGCTCTAATTTCTTGCATTAAAAAACAACATTCAAAGGGTCAGACCATCCTTTAACACAGCAACACATACTGTCTACGACTGCATAACCAAGTGACATGATAATACAACCTTGATGTAAAAATAAACAGGACAAACATTGTGCAGTGTGGTGTAGCTGTCTCACGTTTCAAGTTTCTGCAAGTTGATTTTCATAATGTATTGAAAGAAAATGGAAGCCAGTGGCTGTTAGGAAGGTGGGAAATCGGTCTAAAATCTTGTGTATGATTTGGCAAAAAAAAAAATCAGTTGTGATTTATACACCTTGTGAGTAAAAGGGTAAAATATGCAAAAACACCTTTGGTACCTTTACTCTGCTGACCTTACCTCCATTTTAACTCATAGACTTTTAAATCTATGAGAGCTGTACTGAAGTTTTGTTTTTGTTTTTTTTTTACAAGTACAGCAGCAATGAATTCAAGGAACTGCAAGCATGTAACCGGAATGATAACTTATTATTGACTGTACAAGATTCCTTTAACCAGAATGAAATGGTGGTTACCAATTGTTTTAAGTAAACTGATCGATTTATATTCTTATGCATTTACATATTGCACATGTATAAACATATATAAGGGATGCATTGTGCTATAGAAATTAAAATATTGTGAAATATTGAAACACTTCTGTGAAACATGAGCTCATCTGTCCGGGTTTACAGTGGTATTTCTCTCACCCATTGTTTTTCAGATTTATGATAAAGAGAGCACAGGGGAGAAACCGGTTTGGAATGAAGAACTTCAAAAAGAGATGGTTTCGCCTCACCAACCATGAGTTTACCTACCACAAAACGAAAGGTGAGCTCGAAGGTTTGTCTGGATACTTTTGACAGTTGCATCATTTCCGCGTCTGTTTGTATCGTTGTGTTTGTGTAAGAATCGGCAGGAGGGAGAGAAGGCGGGAGAGAGAATCTGCTGAATGTACATTTAGCCTGAACACTTTGTACATCCAACACATGTGGTGAAGATTAAGTTGCTGAACAGGCGATACATTTTTTTCCCACACTACAATGCACAAAGGAAAAGAGATGAGCTGTGAAAACTTGAAATAAATTGTGATAATAGAGAAAAAAAAATGCCACATAGATCCTGGAAACTGGATGTTATATGATATGATGTGAAATATAACTGGCAGTGAAAGGCAAAAGTAGCCATTTGACTGAATTCTGTTTGCACACATATTGTAGCATTTCCTGTTAGTACAAAACTGTGTGTGAGTATAATGAATGCTCTCAAGATATATAGTTTATATATATATGTATAGTGTATACCAGATGTTTGCTGAGGAGGTGCACGAGAATTGAAGGGGCAAAGATACTGCGCATGAGTTGAAAGGGACAGGTGCATGTAGGTGATCTAAAAACAACTGCAGGTTAAATATCATAACTTTGAACTGTTACCAACATGGTCGACACATGAAACTTATCTTAAAAATCAAAATGGGGCTTAATTAATGGCAACATAATACTTCTTTTATCATTTAAGTTGTTGTCATCTCCCATGTCTGATGTGTTTCCTCTTGCCTCCAGGAGAGGGAGCTCTGTGCAGCATTCCCATAGAGAACATCCTGGCTGTAGAGAGGCTGGAGGAGGAGTCTTTCAAGATGAAAAATGTAAGGGACCCCACACACCAGCCCCCATGGAGTCTTTGGTTCTTTCAACATTTGGCCCAAATCGCTCCTACAAATATTCAGATTCTTCCCTCACTCCCTCCTCCAGATGTTCCAGGTTATTCAGCCAGAGCGGGCACTCTACATCCAGGCCAACAACTGCGTCGAGGCGCGCGACTGGATCGACATCCTGACCAAAGTCAGCCAGTGCAACCGCAAACGCCTGAGCACCTACCATCCCTCAGCCTACCTCAACGGCCACTGGCTCTGCTGCAAGTTCTCAGCAGACACAGCCCCTGGGTGTACGCCCTGCACCGGGTACATGAAGTTGCTCAACTCGATCCAGGATCACGTTCTTTTCCTTTGTTTCCACTCTCTCTCATTTTCCTGTGTGCCTCTATTTTCAGCGGCCTCCCAGCAAACATTCAGCTGGACGTAGACGGAGACAGAGAAACTGAGAGGATATACTCCCTGTACAGCACGTACATGACCAAACTGATCAAGATGCAAGGTCAGAAGAGTGTTTTTAAGTGTTTGTGAGCAGGCGTGTGTATAATTATGATTTTCACACTGTCCGCTTTTGTTCTGTCTCTCACTCTGCTGCATGTTTCCCCCTGCAGAGGCCTGTGGCAGTAAGTCTGTGTATGACGGGCCTGAACAGGAGGAGTACTCCACCTTTGTCATCGATGACCCCCAGGAGACGTACAAAACCCTGAAGCAGATCGTCTCAGCTGTGCAGACCTTGGAGCAGCAGCACACCAAGTACAAACGGGACAAGTTCAAGAAGACAAAGATAGGCAGCCAGTATGTGGTTTGTTGTTTATTTATGCTTGTGGCTCAGATCATATGAACTACAGTTATTGTGTGTATACATATATATATATATATATATATATAGTGCAATGGAGGCTGAGAACTGTGGGAAAAATGTTAGGTTCCTAAATGTAAAATCTAGTTCAACACTAAGCAACCAGCAGGTGGTGCAGTGGTACAGTCCACAATTGCCTGTTGTTAATTTAACAGTGCAAAGTATGTTGGAGATTAAATGTAGCACTTGTAACATTTCAAATAACTCCAACATTGTAACTTTAACCGAGACTGAGCTGTTTCCTGGATTTTCCCTTCAGTCCAGTTACATTGGCTTTTGGTTTGAGTCTCTGGTTATTTTGGCCTCCAGCTCTGATCATCAACTAATAATCTCAACTTTTCTCAAACTTATGTTGTGTTTCTTTTCTCAAAAGACTACTCTGTAACCACCTGCCAACAAATAAACACCATCTTTCTCTGTGTTTCCACAGGGAGCATCCGATTGGAGACAGTTTTCAGTCTTACATCCGCCAGCAGTCTGAGAGCTCCACCTACTCTATCTAGCCATGGCCCTGTATACTGTTTCTATGATGCTCAGAACCAGCATATTTTTCTATACTGCAAAAAAAAAAAATCCATCTTAACTATGCTCTGGATCTAGCATTGGGTTTTAAATCTTTCTTTGTGTTTCCAATGCAGTGTATCCATGCTTGAAGGAAAATTTCTCTTTTGTTATGACATTTCTGGAAGCAGATGATGCTGATTTGGAAACAAGTATCATCCGTTATACTGATTTGTTCGATAGTAAGAAAATAAGAGTTTTAGGGCTTGCTGCCAGACTGAATGAGCTGTGCAGATGGACTTTTTTTGCTGCAGTGTCTTAAGGTGCATCGCTCCAGATTCGGAGAAACAGACCTCAGATCTGTGAGCATGGGGGGGAGAGGAACAGTTGTGAAGGGAAGGAGGGATACGGATGATGAAGATAATAACACCATACATCTATTTGGATCTCCTTTCTGTGATGTGATGAGAGAACAAACGTTTTCACTGGACAGTTTTGACAGTGACCGACACGCACTTTAATCATCTCCAAATCTATGGATGAACAAGCCTCGCAGCACACTTTCAAAAACCTTATTTTATTTGATTTGCATTTGGTTATTGATTTTTGATTTGCTTTTGGTTATTTTAAAGGTTGTAGAAATGTTCCATTGTATTTCACATCTGACAGACCAAACTCTTGAAGGAAATGAGGACTGTAACCCCCCCCCCTTTGGGTGGTGTTGTCCTTGTGTACCTGCTTTTAATTTTGTCCCTAACCTCCTCAGGAAGGCTGTGAAGGTCGAGGGAACACAAGAAGGGATTGTCAGGACCAAGCAAGGCCCAGAGCAGCTTGATGTTGGCTATCAAAACTCACTCCGTGGACAATTTTATCCCTCATTTTTAATCTTTACCATCAATGAGCGAAAAGATGTATGGGTTCAAGTTGTTATAAATCATGCCCTTTGTAACCAGTACGTGAGTTAAAGGAATAGCTTGGTTTTGGATAGTTTTTCTGTTGTATTTTATTGCTTACAATGAGTTTACATTACATTTCATTATATTGAGTCAGATAATCCCATGGATGCCTTTTATTTGTATGGTTGTATGCTGTTTGAAGGTACTGTATATTAAACAGTTTGCTGATGACTGAGTTTATGGATGTCAAGTTGCAGCTTCAGTTTAAAGTAGGGAAAAATACACTGGATGGCTGATTAGCTGAACTCCACCTGTGAAGAAAGAAATTAGATAATGTCCAAGTTCAAAACCAGTTTCTGTTGATATCAGGGCAGACTAACACACTTGGGGGTTGGGGTAAAAATGTGTTGTGGGTCCCTATAAGCTCCCACAAGGTGTGAATTTGTGCATAAGCACAACTTTAGTTACTTAAATTTTGTAAAATGCACTGTGTAACCACAATAAAAAAACAAAAATTACAATGTGCTTACAGTATACACTCAGTGGCTAGTTTATTAGGTACACCTGTATGTTGCTCTTCAACACAACAGCTCTGCCTTTACAAATTTTCTAATGTTCAGTTTTTGTTGAAATTGTAAGGAATATGTAAATTCAATTATATGCTTATTGTTGAGGATATATTTAAAGGGGGTGTTGTACTGGACTACATTACACTGAGAGGTGCTTCAAATGTTTTTATCCTTTGTATTTACAAACTTGATCAGGGCCTTTGGGCAGATGCCTGTTTTCCCCAACCCTGGCTAACACGCGCACACATCCATGGTGGATAAAATATGAGTAAATCCAGAAAAGTATAATAACTGTTGCAGGTAAATACGCATGGAGAACCTTTTGCTGGCTTTTAAAAGGTGCCGATACTTGTTCCGGACATCCAGTACATAAGCTCAAACAAGATCAACATTCAACATACCCTCAAACTGTATGCAGACATAATAAAGGCATGATTGTTTAACTCTGTGTAAGTAGAAAAAGTAATTCAAGCCAAACTATCCCTTCAGCTATCACAAAGCAGAAACTATGAGCATCCATTAACAAGGATGGTTTTAACTTCACTTTTAAATAACCCATATACTAACATTTTAACCAGTCTTGTCTCCAGTTATGATTGTGAAATGGATAGTGTGTTACTGATTGTGTTGCCCATTTCGCTGCCTGATAATGTAGTTTTGTTTAGTGAGTTAGCTCTTACTTTGGAGAACCCCTCCCCCCCACACACCTGTAGTTTAAAATCTATTTATATGCATTCCTCTGAGATACTGCCTGCTGTGAATCTCACTGGTCAGAATCTGTTGAAGGTACAGGATTTATTGTTGTTAACCAGTTGTGTTGTGTTGTTCCACGCTTCCCAAAGGCAACCACTCTCATTGGCATTCATATTCATCAGCACTCACTCTCGCCAAAAATGTGCATGTGAAGTATAGTTGTAGCCACAGCGATGGTAGCCTCCACAGTCATTTCTGTGTTCCCAGGTGACTACAAACTGCAGACAAATTTTGTATTTTCCAAAACGAAGTACCTGGTTATGTAGCCTCATGGGTGTTCTGGGGGTCACAGGATCCCAAACAGTGCCAGTCATCACTTTTCTAAAATTCTTTTTGAAAAGCAAACAAAAAATATCATTGTTTAGATATGTTTTTTTTATATATATATATATATATATATATCTCAAAACCTATAACTGTTTTAAAAACAGACAGCAATTATTCCAATGACATCTTTTTTTCTTTGAATATGTTGATCTATGAACTATAAGGACAGTTTGCAACAATTTGACTGTTTTCTATCTGTGTCTTGTCATACAGATTTCTTGCTGTGCGTCTGAATTGAATGACTTAGGTGTGTGTGTGTGTGTGTGTGTGTGTGTGTGTGTTTTGTGTGTATGTGCGTGTTTGTGTCAGTGTGCACATGAGTGACTGATATGACGAGTTGTATTGCCAATTGAATTAACCCAGTGTTACAGGTCAGGAAAGGCAGCGTCCCACTTGTTAAAAAAAAAAAAAAAAATCACAACCTGTAATTTCACTGAAGACTGTGGCAACACGGTTATTCTGCTCTGGTCTGATATAGTGAATCTCCTCTTTCCTCTTGTATAGAACCACTGATCCTTTTCAATAAACCTTTGCCAATATATTCTCCCCCAAACATTTTATGTATGTAACACAGTAACAACATTGACGAAACATTAAGAGAGCAGTGTTGCTTTAACCTGGAGAGTGTTTTTTTCCATCAGTTACCAACTCTCCTCTGGTTTTCTTCTTTTTTTTTTTTTTGGCTAAGACCGAGGAGACTAGGACTGAAGTATAAACCACCAGACAGTTCTGTCTCTCATCCCTAACTTGGTAATCATATTTATTATCACTTTAAGCAAAACCTTCCCAGAAACATCAGCTGAGTTGGTAGGGTAATGGAAGTTACAGTAATTGGAACTCCTCCACCCTGAAGCCCACACAGGAATGACTTATGCAATAATTGTGTTTCAGCATGCAATAATATTAACAACCCTTCAAATAAGCCCATCAATTTATCACAAATTAACAACGCACATCTGCTGACCTTTTGCAGTAAAACGCCTCTTCAGATAAACACATATTATAAAGGGAGAACAGTGTATTTTGTACAAATATTTTAAAAAGTATTAAGATAAGTATGTTATTTGTGTACATAAAACAGTTGAATGAATGGAAAAAATGTGATGTGTTTTTTTCCCTGAATAACTAAATGAAACCAGTATTAATGCAAATGTGGTGTCTGTGTCATTTGTTAAAAAAAGTCTCTAAACTCTAATGTAGAGACTCACATTTCGTTTCAGTTAGTAAAGTTAAAATAAGTCAGATGGTTGCGTCAGGAAGATGTTTTCACATAAGTGTGTCTTCTGTGTCCACTGTAGTTTGTTATGAATCAGTGAATCCAGACCTTTTTCCCAGCACAGGTGACATAAATGTGCCCGTATTATAGTTTACTGGGAAATCTCGATGCAACAGAGCTTTAATTAGTGTTATTACTTCCACCTGTTACTTTTTCTTCCAACATTTGCCGTAAAAAGCTCTACAGTCCATTTCAAACAAATGCCTTCTACATGATGTCAAGCTGTTTCCCAGTGTGGTCCATTGGCAGTGTGGTCGTTTGTCTATTATCATGTACAGTGAATCATCTGAACTTAAAATGGACGTCTTACTGAATCATATTGCCAATAATTGTTTTTTTTTTGTTTTATAAGTGTCTATTCAAGTCCTTCTCCAGGTTTTAATTTTATTTATTTATTTTATTTATCATGCCATTATGCATGAATGACATTGGAAAAATATTAGTAGTGGTCTTTCAGATATGTAGAAAAGTTGATGAATAATTGACAACTAGTGCATTAATTTTTAGAATAATAAATAGCAGAATCTCTAACATGGTATCTGGGATTCAAATTGCCATTCAAGCAAACTGTAACATAAAGAGGATGTTGTGCAAAATTTTGCAGCCTGTACAGCAGCTTCTTCTATTTTATTGTGTAGATAATACGGTTGAATAAAGCCTACACTCTGATCTATTGCCCCATATGTAAGCTAAGGAAACAGCAGAGAGTAAAAAGTGAATATTGGACTTGCATTGCACCAAAAAACAACTCTAAAGGGTTCTCATATTAGCTTGTGCTAGACGTGTAAATAGCTAAGTAGCTTGGCAAATGTTTCATGTTTCATACAACTAACAATTATTATTATTGATTAATCTGCAGATTATTTTGTCTGAGAAAAAGTCCAAAATCCAAAGGTATTTATCTTACATGACAAGGAAAAGCAGTAACCTGAAAATGTGTAGGATTTTTTCCTACTTGTTCTTCTTAAGAAATTACCAGCGCGATCAATCAATAAACAAAATATTTTTTGTCAATTAACCAATCAATTAAGCAACTTATTTCCGCTATGAATTGCTGGCTAACATATCAGCCTAACAATTTTTTAAGGGTGGATACTGTATGCATTATCAATGACCACTAAGACACAAAACGACGACTATAGACAAGCAAAACAACAAAAAGACGCAATATAACCATAGACATGTTTCTTTCAGTCTGGGGGTAGTGGGGGGGCGTTTTTGCTTGTGTCTGCCCAGGGGCCCATTCCCCTTAATCCGCCCATGGGGTTATAGCACTGGTGGTGCCTTCATGTGCGGTTTTACTAGGTTCAGGAAATTGTTGGTAGCAACAAGTTTAAGTTTAAATACAACTGAGAAACACAAAACCAGACCGAGTACTTAATAAATCTCCACCGTGGCCAGAAATCCTTTTTGTGCTCCTTTGACCTCAGGTCGTGTATTCAGAAATGTTTCTGCATGAGTCCGGTCGACCACCACCTGCAGCCCCTCAAAGCAGCAACATGGCAGAGTGCGTGACTGTGATAGCAGCGCTCCCTAGCTGCCTCCCCTCACACCCCTCCGTATCTGCTCCCCTGGCAGCCTCCTCCACTTCTCCCCCCTCTCTCCCCCTCTCTCCCTCTCTCACTCTCCCTCTCTCTCTCTCTCTCTCTCTCTACGAAAACACTTTCGGGAAGAATAAAGTTTTTTTTTTCCCCACACGGACCTGCACTCAGCCCAGCCTGTACCCAGAGCCAAACCGTGGCCTAGCAGGAAGAACGGCTCGACTATGTGGAGAAAGAAACGGGCACTTGGGGAATCCTTGGCTTGTCTCGTGTTTCTTGTGACGCTCGTCGATGCTTATCGATGTAAGTGTTTGGATTTTGCGGTTTTACATGTTTAACTCTGCCTTGTTAAAGTAATTCACGGAATAGCCTGTTTTCGGTGTCATTGCCGCAGTTTGAAACGAGCAGCGTCTTTCAGCTTTGGGAACCGAATGTGAGCATTTGGGAAATGTTTAAAACTTTGTTTAACATGTGAGCAGCAAACGGGGAACAGAGTATGTGCAGGGGTCATGACTCCTCTCTACCCCGTGAAACAATGCTTGGACAACGTGCTGCTTGTTACAACAACTAGGGGTCATTTCTGGGAAATAATGGTTTCGCAATGACATTTTTTTCCAGGCCAATTCATAGAAGAGTAATTAGGTTGTCCACTTTGTCCATGCAGGCACCAGCCACATCAGCCATCTGTCATGAGGAAACAGAGAGTTAAATTCCTGCTGGGATCAGTCATGTGTTCTTCTAATGTAGCTTGTATTAAACACACATGTGAGAGTATCACACAGGGTAACTTACACTCTAATAGGCTTGTTGAGTCCTGATTGTTGTAAGCATTCAAGCAACACTGACAATGGAAATATAACATTACACACTATATTTAATTGAGTGTGTTTGTGTTTCCATGTGTGTCGCAGTCCTGAGCCAGAGCACAGCCACCCAGTTCCTGAGCAGGCACAAAAGAGCCAACTCTCTGTTTGAGGAGAGCAAGAAGGGCAACCTGGAGAGGGAGTGCATCGAGGAGCTGTGCAACAAGGAGGAGGCCAGGGAGATCTTTGAGAACCAGCCGGAAACGGTAAGAGGAGTAGTGACCCCTGACCTCCAGACCTCCTCATCGCTGACTGCATTTCTGATTTTTATACAAATCCAATAGTGAATGAAGTGGAAAAGCCATGGCAATTCTCTTCTAAATTATTGAGCTAACGGGATGGTGCATGAGAAAGAAGAAGTGAAAACAGGGAGAATGAAAGAAAATCACAAGCCAGAGATCAGACTAATGCAACAATTAGATCATTTTCTTGATTAATTAATCAAAGTTTAGTCTATAACTTTTTCAAAAAATTATTAAAAATGCCAATCACATTATTCCAGAGCTGGACTCAGATCAGACCAGACTTCTGATGTCTTATTTTGTCTGACACACACTCCAAAATCTAAATGTATCTTATTACAGAGGACTAAAAAAAGTAAATTTCCTCATTTGAAGAGAATGTTCTGCACCTTTGCACTAATATTGAAAAGTGTTCTTTCAATTGACTAATCATTTCAGCTATAGATCAGAAGCTATTTCTTTCAAACATTTATTTTTCTTCCAGTAAAATTTAGAAAAAGAAAGTAAACTTAAAATGTTAGTGTATTGATTTGAAGCATAGCTGGATGTAATATCACTTTCAGCACACACTTTTCTTTCTTTGTCTTCTTGTTCTTATTGTCAAATGTGTATTTTAAAATCTTGTTGAATCTTCATCTGTTTATTGTGTTTTTTCCCAGGAATACTTCTATCCCAAATATGTTGGTAAGTTTGTAGAAATTGATCATGTAATATGTTGTGGTATAATCTTTGTTTCCCTATCCTGATGAAGACCACTCTTTGTTGCAGTGTGTCTGGGTTCACACCGTGTCGGCATTAACAACCAGAACTTGGATTCTGCTATCCCATCAGACCTTCGCACCTGTGTGACAGGTGAGGAGCTTTACCGAGGCTGTTTAAGTGACAATGTTTGTACTTTTCTGTCAGTTTATGCTTTCAAAGGCTTTCATCAACATCTAAACCTTTTTGTTGCATGGCAGAGATCAGTAACCAGTGTACACCGTATCCATGCTACAAGGAGGGTTCAGAGCGCTGCGTGGATGGCCAGGCCTCCTTCACGTGTGTGTGTAAGCCCGGCTGGAAGGGGCCACGCTGTGAGGACGGTGAGTGCTGATACATAATTTGAGATTTTACATGTTTTAGTTGAGCTTAAACATCCTGTATTAATATTTCATACTTAAAATTAGACTTAATTCAGCTTTCAAGCTGATTAATTGAACTGTTTAAAAATACTTGAACCAGATGCTGATACATGTTGTTGTGTGATGTGTTGACTGGGCAGACATCAATGAGTGTTCAGATCCAGACTTTCCAGCGGGATGTAACCAAAAATGTTACAACCTCCCCGGTAGTTTCCACTGCATGTGTGAAGAGGGCTTCTTCATCAATAATAAAATCGACTGTGTGGGTAAGGCCTCATTCATGTCAATTTCAATTTGTGCAGATGCACTTCAACAATGTCAAAGTTGAATTAATTTCAAAACCACCAAGAGACAGAAAAGTACAATTTAATGTTCTTCCTCTGTGTATTAATGACTTAGGTCACATATATGAAGACCATCTGGCTGCATTACTGTCCCTATAGTAGGGGAACATATAGTGCTACTAAGCAGCTGAGAAAACACAGACGTTTCTACACTGCGTGTTTTTCTTTTTGATGACTTCCTTCATATGTAGTAATATGAATGGTGGAACCCTGCACACTTCATAACAAAAACTCTGTTCTCCCAGCTGTTGTCCTCTGGGCCTGCACCATTTGTTATTTCTAAAGCTGATCAGAGTTGACCTCTTATGTAACAGAATGAGAAAAAGATCATAACATATAAAAAGATGGTCCTTCCCCTTTGCTGCGAACAGACCAGCAGTCTCGTAGTTTTTAGATGCTTGTTATTCTGCATATTTCTCTCTGTCCTATTTTGTCCTGGCAGCTCAGTCAGTGTTTATCTTTGATAGTTCAAAGTCTTCACAAACATGGACTGAGTCAGTTTGGTAAATTTGCTTTCTCTATTTTTCTTTTTTTTTAATAGGCTGTGGAGATTTACAGCTGATTTTGCACATAGTCCATCAATAAAAAGCCCAAATTATGGGATGTTTTGATGTTTGAGCTTATATATATATATATATATATATATATATATATATATATATATATATATATATATATATTATACATATATACACACACACACACACACACACACACACACACACACACACACACATATAAGTTACTATTTAGGGCATTGTCTGTGTTTTTTAGATAGCGGAAGTGGAGACAGAAAGGAAATGCAGGGAGGGTTAGGGTTAGGGTTAGTAGGGAGAGTAGGGGAATGACACGTAGCAAATGGTCCGGCTGGCTAGTTGTCAAACCAGGGACTTGCAGCTCAGGGCATTTGAGCGCATGTGGCATGTGCCCTAACCATTCAGCTATCGATTATTTTATATTGATCTGTTAATTATTTGAATTATTTGAAACATGGAGTATAAGTATTGTAGTTATTGTAATTTCTTTCACATTTAATATTTTCATTCATGTACCAAAATTACATTTGCAATCAACCCAATATAGTTTATTAGCCTTTTTTTTTTCTAATCAGACCGTTCATAGTACAAATTCTTCCAAAACCATTTGCTCATTGTCACTTTTGATTCACTGTTTTCCAGATATTGATGAATGCCTCCTGTACCCCAGAATCTGTGAAGCACCGGCTAAATGTGTCAACAGTCCTGGCATGTACAAGTGCCAGTGTCCACTGGGGTTTAAATATAACTTCACTTCCAAAACCTGCAACGGTGAGACCTCAATTTATTACCTCCTGGAGTCTGACAGGTGACAAAATTAACTACATTAAACCATATCTTTGTAGTTCGAAATCCCACTGATGGTACACGTATTGTAATCACACACCTTCCATCAAAAAGCTACCACAGACGCTGAACCACAGATCACTGCCCTCTCAATGTTTCTTCTCCTGATGTTGCAGATGTGGACGAGTGCGAGTTCAATGTGTGCGATGGCACTTGTATAAACACAGTGGGCAGCTATGCATGCTACTGTGATGGTCGTGAGGGTCTTCGTTTGGCGGAGGATGAACGATATTGTGAAAGAATCCCTGTTTGTATGGAACTGTATGACCACAAACACTCGGAGATGCTGTACCTGGGGGAGCAGTTTGCAGGCCTACCTGTCATCTATCTGCGTTTCCGTCTGCCAGAGAACACAAAGTATGTGTTTATCACACACACACATACATAAATGTAGTGTACTTATTTTTCTAAAGGATCATAAGAGTGTTGTGTGTGTGTTTTACCCCACATATCTTTTATACATTTCTCTCAGTCAGAGGTGTATGGTCATGCAGCTGCCAATGTGGATTTATTTAAAGTAGACCATTGCAGCATTAAGCAACAACGATAATGTAGCGTGTGAAAGTTGATTATTGGCCAAGAAAGAGTAGTTTGACCAAAACAACTTTAAGCTCTTGAAAAAGCTCCACTAGTTTTTTTTCCAGAATTGTTGGATGAATCGTAAGATGTGGTTGAAACAAATATGTTATTTTGATAGTGACAAAAGTACATGATATTGTTTTCAAACTAGTTTATGCCTCCAGAAGCTGATTTTCATACCATACTGGATTTTAGTGGTGTGAAGTGTACATGTTTTTTTTTGTTTTTTTTTTAGTGAAAACATGCATAAGTATTTATATAGACAATGCTATTTACATTTGAACATAATTATAGTCAGATTACTGTGACAACTTGTATTTCTGTCTCCTGCCGTTGTTAGGTTTGCAGCAGAGTTTGACTTCCGCACATTTGACCCTGAGGGAGTTGTTCTGTACGCTGAGTCCTCACAGGACTCGTGGTTCATGTTGGGACTAAGGGGCGGTCACATTGAAGTCCAGTTCAAAAACCAGCACACATTCAAGGTCACCAGCGGAGGAAAAGCCATAAATGATGGACAGTGGCATGTGGTGAGAAAGAGCTGTAGTCCAGTTATTCCCTACATGTACTCCGTTTGCTCCCCTATGGCTGACACACAGTAGCAGTAGCTGAAGTGCTAATTGATAAACCGAACTGATGAAAGGTGGATTGTGTTAAGGGTAACTGTGCGCTCTGGTGCTTAACTGTGCTGAATACAATGTTGTAAAAGTTACCATGGTATCATGTGTAACATGCAGATCTCTGTGGATGAACTGGAGAGCAGCATCAGTGTGAAGATCAGCAAGGAAGCTGTGATGAGCATCAACAGCCCAGAGAGTCTCTTTACTTCAGTTAATGGCAAACTGGAGACCAAGGTCTACATCGCTGGTCTGCCCAACCGCACTGACAACATCATCAAACCTGTAAGATGGTTATCTAACAGCTAACACATACAACTAAATCACTCAGCAGACACTGGATTCTGTTTCCTTGCCACAACAGGACTTAAATAAATAACAACAATATGAAGCAAGTGTTTGGGAATTTACATTGGTTGACTATACTTAAGAGCAGAAATCCATACTGCTGTACTATGTTTCCGTCCGTCCGTCTGTCAGATCAACCCTCGACTTGATGGCTGCATCCGGGGCTGGAACTTGATGAATCAAGGTGCATCTGGGGTCAAGGAGGTCATCCAGGAGAAGACAAGTAAACATTGCTTTGTGTATGTGGAACGAGGATCTTTCTTCACTGGGGGGGGACTGGCGCACTTCAACATTGACTACAGTGAGTAAGTTAAGTTATACTTTATTAATCCCTGTGGGGAAAATTGGCCTCTGCATTAGGTCCATCATAGCTCATTAAGAGCATTGAGCAGCCGCAGCGCAGTGCTGTAGGATCATATGTAGCTTTGAGCACGGTGCTTTGGTTTAAAGGTATGTGACTAACATGCCAGTGTGTTGGGCTGGGAAGAAACTGAAGCACCCGAAGGAAACGCATGAACAAAGGAGCATATCATTCCACACAGGAAAAACTCCACTTTTTAAATGAAGACCTATTACATGTAGTAGTACAGACCTGCACAGGTACAAAGTAAACATATGTGGTAGGGCCCATTGTAGCTGTTACAACATGTATGTTCCATTAATTCCACATCATTTCTTGAGAGAACCTCTCAGGAATTTAGACAGACTTTTTTTAGAGTTGCAACCATGTGATTTTGAGAATATAAGATATTTGAGTTGAGTAAACCTACAACATGGGCTCTTTGGTTCTGAGAAAAAAACACTAGGAAATTTACCAAGTTTCTAACTTTCCAGCCGAACAAAAGTAACACAAGTTTGTATTTGTTTCCCTGTGTTTATGGATGTGTTTAACTAGGTGATTCTGGGAGCTGGAATGTGGATGTAAAGATGAATATACGTCCATCAACTGGCACAGGTGTCCTCTTTGCTCTTGTCGACAACACCACAGTCCCGCTGTCGGTTGCTGTGGTGACATCGGGAGGAGAAGATACTGTGAGTTCAGTCACACGTTTGTTAAAAATAAGCCCATATGTATCTCTGCATTTCTTCACACATATACATGCAAAAATGCACATGAAACTTTGCCATGCTATTGTCCTCCATGCTCCCAGAATTTGCAAGTGTTCCTGGACGGCGTCTCCGTGGCGAGGCTGGACTCACTGATGCTGTGTTACCCTGAGCGGCTGACACTGCAGCTGAATGTGACTCCTACAGAAATCCAAATCTCAGCCAACTCCTCCACCGTTACCTACATGAAATCTGACGATCTGCAGGAGGCGCTGAAGCGCCTCAACACCAGCATGCAGAACCCCATCAGTACATATATTGGTGGGATCCCAGGTTAGTCAAAGCAGCAAATACAAGTAACAAAGTACAAAAGTAATGCTTTGATGATAACTGTGAACAAATGTATCAGCCACATATGGTCACCACGATCAGGCCAATGTGGCCAATGTGTAAGAGCTTTCTCCAAGACTTCCTTACACTGGAAAACAGTTTCAAAGCAAATGTAAATGGAGTATCTTCTTGATTATGCTCCAAGAGCAAGACTGCAAGCTGCTCTCTACTAAAAGTAGATTTGCAGGTTTGTTTTAAGTACTCCAAAAACATGAAAAGAAGTCTGGTTTTCTCAGACAGTGAATGGTTGTTTGCAAGCGTTGACACACCCACTGCTCCAAGAGAGAAATGGCGGAGGTGAATTTGCACGATTTGTTCGCTTTCAGCGGGTCTCCTCCATAAGAGTCTACAGCCTCTGTGGGGCTGTATCTAAATGGTAATGTCAGCATGCTAACATACTCACTGTGACAATCATGCAGGTATAATGTTTACCATTGCCACTTCCTCATTTAGCATGCTAGCATTTGCTGATTAGCACTAAACACAAAAGTACAGCTAGGACAGCAGGATAATGGGAATATCATTAGTTTTTGCTGGATTTTGGTCAGAGACCAAAAGATTGGACAATTAAAATTTTTGACCAGATGATGGCGCTAGATTAAAAGTCCAGGACATGAATGTCTGTACAAAAGCTCACAGCAATCTGACCAGTTGTTACTGAGATATTTCAGTTTGGACCAAAGTGGTGGACCCACTAAGAACCATTGAACCATACTGCAAGCATTGCTCAAACCTTTGTCAATAGTTATTTTACCTCTCTCTAAACAAATAACACTCATAGATTTGTTGTAGAATTTCTGACTGAATACATGAATTCAGTAAAGCTTGTGAGATTGTAATACCATACTTAACTTAAATCAAGAAGTTTTGTTTGTCTCCAGCTAGCCCAGAAATACAATTATCCGTGTTCTGACCAAAAGTAATCCACAGTGCCAAGCACTCTTCAATGGTTCCCAGTGAGTGTCAGAAGTCATATTCTAGGAAGGCCAATTTCAAACCCCAGTAAACTGAACTGCTGTCCCACTAAACCAGTGTGACATTTCGTAAGACCTTTCATAAAAGGTTATCCTCTGGCCTGACGACAAGATTAAAGTCCAAAGGGGGAATGTACATTTGCTGTCTTTGTTCTAATTTTGTACTTAATGTGTTTGTTGTTTATGTTATTATTTTACTTTTCTTTTTCTTTTTTTTTTATTTTGTACCATGTTATAATCTTGGTTTTAAAGGGGCTATATATAGCACCATCTCTCATTATTGTCATTCTCACTGACTGTCCTAGACGATGTCCCATTACCTGCCACCCCAGTGACGGCGTTTTACCATGGCTGCATGGACATCTCTATCAACGGCCAGCAGCTGGACTTTGATGAGGCTTTCAGCAAACATAACAGTATTAAGTCTCATTCCTGTCCTCCATTCTCTGCCCCTGAAAGCCATGCTGCACCACACCCATATTGACCTTAATTAACAGCAGCATCACATTTTAACGCCCTCACACTAGGCAGCGTCCCACAGTGGCCATCTCTTGGGATGTTTTGGAAAGAGAGATTTATAGAGGAGAGGAGATGGGAGGGAGGGAGGAAGAGGATGAGAAAGAAGTGACAAGAAGAGGAGATAGCGGTAGATGGTTATAGTCATTTTTGTCGACTTTCTCTGATGGGTTTATTTTAAGCCTTCTCTTATTCTTTTTGTCCATACAGTGTTATTGCTACTGTCCTGGGTGCATTTTGTTCAGTTTTTTTTTTTTTTTTTTTTTTTTTTTTTTTTTAGCATGGCACAACGAAAGCTGGCTTGCCAGTGAGGAAACTGGAGGGCTGGAAGATGTAGTTGTAGCAGTTTGTTGCAATGATTTTAATTCTTTCCAAGAAACTTTGAAAAAGAGCTGAGCTCTGTAGCGCACATACCATGTGTTGAGCAAGAGATTATGTTTGTGTAGAAACATAAACAAATGGTCACAATTGACCAGGCTTTGAGACCACCTGCATCTTTTTCCATGCTGTTGAATCATGGTACTATCCACAAATTGTCTTCAGTGCGGTTCTTGTGGAGGCAGACGTCTGGAGACAGCTAGCTGACATTGTGGTGGTCGGTTGTGGCGGCGAAAACCGCAGAGGAGAAAGCTGAGCCTCCAGGCTTTCGATCCAATTCTGTTGCATGTTCTTGATTGAATCACCATCTCTTATTGGAGCTCTGCCTTCCTGAAGAAGTGTAGTAACTTTTAGAAACATGGTTTATCATTTCATTGTTCCCAGAATCCACTATGGTTTTCGCCAGATGTATACACCTCTCATTATGGCTGGTCTTGTAAGACTAGTACAACTTCTGACATTCTTCTATTTCTGTCCTCATCTTCAGGGTTCTCCTGGTTGTCCTCTGTCCAGAATTTGTCTTGTATATAAAACAAGGTATCTTTAATATATAACTTAAATGTAGTTGTTCAGTTTTGTTTGTTTTATGTTTGTTAAAATAAAACTATATCAAAGCAACCTTATTTTGATACTGTTGAAATTCTATATTGCATTTGTCTGCCCTCTTGTCAGAAACAAAGCCAAACAGGAAGATGTCTTCATAGAGAAAAACATGTAAAGTAATGGCTCTGTATTTAAAATGGCTCTTTGGTAGCCATTGTACATTTGTGCACAGTTTCAAATATATTGACGATAATGCTGCGTATTCGAGCCTATTAAACAATATATGAGTCCTTAAAGTCAGTCTCTCATTCACTGACAGTGTTGTAGTTGCAGGCATCAAGTCAATAACAATGACATGAGACAACCATTGACAATTCATTTAGTGCCATGTGCACAACTGTATGTAAGGAACACTATGTTCCACTCTTTCCAGCACTGCTTATATAGCAGTTACATAGCCATTATTTTCAAAGCTGTGCGACCCAGGTCTAACCATCACTTGATGGTCTGTTTTCCATCAAGTGATTTCTTCTTCTTTTTTTTGGAAGATCTCCACTATACCACTACACTAATTTGTTTGTTATAGCCCTTTTGTACTATTTAACATTTACAGTAACATTAAGACATTACTTTACACAATTATAATGCAGCAACCTTTCAGACACGTCACAATATCTCTTATCAATATTCATTTAACATTTCGTCTTGACTTTTCACTATATTAGGAGGAACAAAACTATCAAATGCAATTTTATTGATACCTCATACCTTGTGTATGATTAAACAGAAACACATGACAGACTGTGGCCTAATGGCCAAGATGCAGAAATGGGAATACTGAGGAAAAGCAAGTGAAACATAAACAGCAAAATGTGGGCTGAACTTATGAGAAATTAGTTCGTTAGAACAGGAAAAGGGTGCTTAAAACCGATTTTCAGTCAAGATTTAGGGGAAATAAAACTGAAAGAAAAATGACTTGTATGGGTTTAAATTCATACTGAAAGTTTTTAAGATGTGTAACGACAGCTCTGATTCCTCTGAAGATGAGGAAGAATCACTCCTTTACTTATATAAAAATAATAATGCCATCATTTAAAAATATTCCATTACAAGTGAGAATCCTGCATTAAAATTTTTGTCAAGAAAAATAATATAAGTATTATTATCAAAGTATACTTAAAGTATCAAAAGTTACTGGAGTAAACTTTACTCAAGTAAAGAACTAATACCTCAAAATTGCACACAACAATGTTTTAGAAAACTCATTTCACAAACAACGAGATGGGTTGGAAAAGGTAATCTACTAATTGACTTTGGTGCTGCCCATTCACAAAGAAGAATTGTTGTCCTTATCTTTTCTGCTTTCTGAAATATTGTTGAATTTTCTTAAAGTATGTTGCATTTTGTATTTTGTTCATTTGTTTTGTTCAATGCTCTTGTGTTATGCACCTCAGTGCTACTGTACCATAAAATGTTTCTGTTACTATTACAGGTCCTCCATCCGTCTCTGTGTCTCTGGTACTCTAAAAATCTGAAAATCTTAACTTTTTTTATTTTATATTGTGGTTGTTTTTTTGTAAAGGTGTGTCTTTTTAAATAGCTTCCCTTTTTTTCTCTGTGTCAAGTAATTCACACACAGAAAACCCCTGGCAAGGTATTAATCCACCATCAGAGAACTATAAGGATGCAATTATTACTTTCATTATTGATACGTTTGACAATTATTTTCTAGAGTAGCCTAATCAATTGATTTAGTGTGTTAAAAGCCTAGTTAACATTTTCAAATTGGTTCATTTTGTCTGACCAAAAACCCAAGAATGTGTGGGAGACCAGCAAATATCCACATTTAAGAAGCTGGAATCAGTACATTTTTGGTATTTATACTATAATGACTTTTCTGTCATTGTCTGATTCATCATTAGGCCTACAGCTCCAGATTACATGTTGGTTTCTGAGTGTCTGGGGACACAATATAACTATCATGTATGGTGGGGGCCCAAAAACAAATTTGTTGCCCCAGCCCCCACCTTTTGAAGTTGATCCGGCCATGGGGAGAGGTGTCTGAAAGGCTGCATCATTACAAACTCCTGCCTACACTTCTCAGAGCAACTCCCCCTCAGAGGCGTGCAGTCTTTCTCCGCAGACTGGGGACTCATTCCGGCCAGAGAGGGCTAAAACACGAGAGAAGAGGGTCAGAAAATAAAGTACAGACTGCAATGGGGATGAGCTGAACTGCAGAGAAGAGAGGACGGTCGCTTAACTTGCCCGTGTTATTAACGTTATGCGGGAGAAACACGACAGTTTAGCTTGCAACGCTCCGCGGCGACAGTGATTTAACATCAAAAACGTTAACGGCCAACGGTCGGAAGTACCTGAATACCTGCAGTGTTTCGCACTAACGTTAGCCTCGGCTTGGTGCAAACAGCGGTGACATTGAGAGACGAGGGGAGATATTGAGAGGCTGAGCGGGGGACAGTAGAAACGGGACGGGAGAAAGTTTCTCAAGCTTGGCGCAGACACAGCGGTTAAACAATGCGGCTGACCCCGACAAAGTCCCTTTCATCGGCAGCCCTGCTAATCCTGCTGGTTGTCCGCTGGTCCGACAGCAGTAAGTAAACAATTACATGCTAGGTGGCTAGCTAGCTCGCTAAGTCCCCTTTGACATTTGTGTTGTGGCTGATGATGATTTATTAAGCGTCACTAACGGCGCTATTTCGCAACCTCTCTTCAATATTTTCGTTTTTTGGGAGCCACATATTGCTCAACTCCTGAGTTCTTTGACCTTCTTTTATTCCTCTAGGGTAATTAACACAGTGTATTTTCCTTTTTTAGTTTCATTGTCTCCTCAAGAGGCAAACCAGTTTCTGAGCAGACACAGAAGAGCTAATCAGGTTTTCGAGGAGACGAAGCAGGGACACTTGGAGAGGGAGTGTGTGGAGGAAAGGTGCACCAAAGAGGAGGCCAGAGAAGTGTTTGAAAACGACCCGGAGACTGTGAGTATATCAGCAAGAAGTTAGTTAAAGCACCAAAACACCGCTTAAAGTTGTATTCTGCAGTCCAGGTTGCATGCAGGTCCCACCCCCCTACAAAAAATAGAACATGGTTGTCATAACATCATATTAGGCTTCTTCTACTTAGGCACCGCAGTAGCAAAAACTATTATAAGATGATTAAAACACCATCATTATTATTAGTTTATATACTGTAATTTTTGCAACCCTGTATTTGTTATTTACCATAAAGCTGCAAAGTCCGTTGTTGGCATCATGTTCATATTGACTTCAAATTGATGGCTGTAATGTGACAGTAGACTAATGATTCATTATCTGGGCTGCTGGTGTTTATGCTCCAATAAGTCCAGAATGCTGATAGCTATCACTGCAACATAATATTCCCATGTCAAGGACTTGGCATGTTGTCTGCTCTTTTTGTTTGTTTCTGTGACAGACAATGAGTCAGTGTGACTAAGCTTTAGTTTATGAAATACAGTATTAAAGAAGACGCTGCTATCCCTACACTATCCCTTCGCACAGACAGTCTTCTGTTTGATATAATTTGGCCCCGTCTGCTGGAGATCTGCTTGGCTCAGGTTCCTGCCAAATATGGGTAACACCTGGATATCTTTTCTCCATCTCTCTTCTCATCACCTGTATCGCTGTATGCCTACACATGCCCACTCTTACATTTCCATACACAAATGCATGGGAATGATGCAAGCAAACTCTTCTGATTCTGATTGGTCTCTTTGGGAGCTGATAAGCAGTTTTCTGTGCAAGAAATGGGTTTCATTCAACACACCAATGCACATTGCCACACTAATCAGTATACATGCTCCAACCCTGTTTTTCTGTTTTAAGTTTACCAACAAACAAAATCCATTGCACTGTGTGTGCTCAGGAATATTTACTGCAGATTAGTTTCCATTCACGAATGTGCAGATCAGCCTTTCCATCCATGTGAATACATAAGCCTATTGAATATGTAATACATGTGCTGGATATGCAGACCAGCTCCGGAGATATAAATAACCTGATGTGTCAGAAAACGTGGAACATGGGCTATTGAGCCAAGAGGTGTATTCATTCACTGGCTGAGAGTGCAGACTTTTAAGTCTTTTAACAGACATCTGTTTGGGGTGTGTTGCATGTGTCAGTGTGTGTGTGTGTTTGTTATTCAGTAACATAAGTTATTGTAAAGACTCTTGCCCAAACCCATTTAAAAATATGAGCTGTCAAGAAATATCAGCAACAAGTGTATCCTGACAGTGTTTTTGTTTGATTTTAACTGCTTGAGTTGTAAGTCAGAGATTCAAATGAAGTTTTAACTGCACATGCAGGGAGTGTTTGTTAGCATAGTGCTGGTGATGCTGTGCTCTTCAACAGTCACTTTGACCTTTTACATTTTGGCATTGTGAATTTTAGCAAAGAGGGAGTGAATGTGGCAATCAATGATTCAGAGATTATTTGTAAGATTAGCCAAGTGGAGCGACATAGACGCTGAGGGAGGGAGGATTAAAGCAAAGTTGAGCTGGGTTTAGAGGAAAAGGTGAAGTTGGGTGACGTGCCTTCTAGTTGAGTTTGAATCAGCTGGACGCACATCACCAGCAGAATAGCGTTTGTGTGCCTGTAGTTTTGTACCATGTCGTGACACAAAGCTGCAGTCTCATTCATAGCTGCATTATTCATTCTCAAAGAGCCCATCTCTGACTCTGCATTTTCCTCTGCTGCAGCTTTCCGGCTCTGCAGAGAGAGGAAGAGTAGGGTGTTCCTGCCTGGATACTCATGATTATCCATGGCAACGAAAGCTATCACTCCAAGTTTCTGGTCTCTCATCTGTTAGGCAACATTTTAAAAGGGGGATGAATAGTCAATAAACTTGTTGGGCACAAGTTTAATAATAACCAAAAACTTGCTCTATGACTGACCATCAAATCAGGGTTATAATCAGGTTTTGCCGTGTAACATGTGACTGGCTTCAGTAAACTTTATTCTGATTACTAATTATTACAAATCACCTTTTTTCACCTCAGCTTCCTGCATCCGGCTCATACTGCAGCATAAGATCTCTAAAGTATCTATGCCTCCAGATACAATCTTTACATTGGTACATCCCCCTAAATTTTGACCTACATGTGAAGGAACACTGCAGCCAGCAGGTGGGAGGGATGCTACAACTATCAGGAATGCAGAGAATTCTTAGGAAGCCCCTGGCAAAGGGCCGCACCCATTAGATAGAGCCCACACATACACACACACACACACACACACACACACACACACACACACACACACACACACACACACACACACACACACACACACACACAGATGACAGACTAATAATACTGAAATCTCTGTCCCGATATAACACACACACCTACACACATACATGGACAATGCAACTCTTGAAATTAATGATTGTTTATGAATCACTTTTGCCATGAATAGGAGCACAGAGATCAGGCATAAAACAAAACCAAATCCTAGATTATGTCAAGTATTAACAGAAACCTCCCTTCTAATTGCAAGCATCTGTTTAGATTATCCTGTTCTGTTTAGATTTTTGTTTATACGCCTACGTAACTTTATCCCTCTCTCTTCTCCCTGATTTAGGACTACTTTTTCCCCAAGTACTTAGGTAAGTTATCATTCTGACTAAAACCCTTCATCTCTACTCATAACAGCCATCTTTTCAGATTATATCTTTATAATCTGTTCATTTTAATTTCACTTTTGTTTCTGTCTAGCTTGTATGGACAAGTTTGGAGACTCTGAAAAGAAGAAACAGGATCTGGTCACTTGTGTCCACAGTAGGTTTTATCCCCTCTTGTCTGTCTGTCAGCTTCACATTACGTGTTGATTGTAGGTCTGTGGACGGGTTTATAGAGTCCTTGAAAGCCCTTTTTTTAACCTACCCTTCCTTTCTTCTTCTTTCTGTCTTTCACTGTGCAAGTATTACTACATCCAGAGACAGCCACCTAGTTGTAGTGTGGGGTTGGGCTGCACTGCAGTATTACTGCTCTGCATCACACTCACACTGAGGCATACACTCTCTCTCTGTAGAATATGGAAGAAGAAGGAAATATGATGAAAAGGTGCAGAATTTTTATGTCAACTCCAGGTCAGTTTTTGCAGTGTTACACACGTAACTGACTATGTGAGTGTGCTATATGTGCGTGAGCTCAGGTATCTGTGAGTAACATTGCAGCACTTTGCTACAGTGATGCTGCACATTGGTGAATGAGTAACACACCCCTTCAGTCGTCACATACTCCCTCACCACACACTGTGCGTGACTGCACCAGCATCTTCGTGAGCTGGCTCAGTGGAGGAATGACGTGGGAAAAAAAGTCTGACGTGAGTGGAGCACAGGATTTCTGCTGCATCAGGATACAAGAGACCTGGACCAACCCGGCTTTGCTGAGGAGGGAGGGAGGGGGCTGCAGCATTGTAATACTTAAAGATATGGTGGTTGTAGCCCCCCCCTTCCCTTTTTTTTATCTATCTGTCAGCACACTGTCTCTTTCTCACTGCAAATCTCTGCCCATCTGTCCCCTGTCTAAGTGCAGTGTACGAGTGGGTGGCATGGTTCCCATGGGTCCTTGATATCTTGGAAGGGGGGGAATCAAGGGCTGGAAAGTTTTTGAAAATAGATAGAAATAGACATGGGTAATTGAAAGTGCTTGTATTTATATATATTCTGTGCAAAAATGGAAATTATGTTACAGTAATTAACCTTGATCCATGTCTCAAACTATGTGCTGTTTTCTGCCCTTGAATTTGAGGAAATTGGGCCTGGAAAGTCCTCAAAAAGTCCTTAAAATTGATGTTTAAGAAGGTGTGGGAACCCTGGGGTGGTATACCTTTATCAAAGCAGATCGTGACATTCCACTAATTCCATTAATATAATATTAAAGACGTGGGATGTTACAAACATGGATCATTATGGAAAGCTACAGTTTTGGCTTAATATTTGCATGTGCCAAAAGTTGATGTCATTGTAAGCACAGCAGATGCATTTCTTCCCACTCCTCCATTCTATTCCCTTTGCAGTCAGCAAAACACTCAGGTGTTTTGTGAATTGCTCTGCAGACAAATAGAATCATTAACAACATAACACACAACTTAACACAATGTTTTCCCATTCTGTAGCATTTCGTAAGCATTCCCTATGTCTGACATAAATCATTGCTGCTCTGTAAACTTTGGATGGCTGAAAAAGTAATTGTCATATTAGTACTGAAAATATTCGTTAGTTGGAGCTGCCTTCAACTTAAATGAAAACAGTATATCATAAAAAACCTTTTATAAAAATGTCTCAAACTCTCATTTTGAAGCAGCGAAATCCTTCTAAGTGTACAAACGAATCTTTGTGTACGTAAAAGTCCATTTATTTATGACAAATTTACAAAAAGTTAGATGATGCCTGTATTTATTCAGAATTGACGCAAAACAGCCTATTCATGCACATATGCAGTTATCATTAACAAATAAATCATCTTCAAATCAATGTACTATTTCAGGTTGATTTCAATTTATGATTGCCCAATACAACAGAATGACTAATACATTATGAAAATGTAACCTGATATTGCAGCTTAAATGTTTTTCAGCGTTGTAGTTTTTTTTTAGAGAACAGTCAGTTATGGTGACTCTGCTGCCAATGTACATAATCCCAACCTCTGAAATATTATGGGAAACTGATAATATAAATAATCACAAAAAATACATCTCACAGTTGAAAGTGTGATGTAGTATTAATATACATAGTACTGTATTGTGCGATTATCATCCAATGAAAAATGGCTTCATTAGAAAGTTGTACCTTTGCGTTTCATATGTTTACTAAGCTTGCTCTCTTGCTCCCCCCATTTTCTCCAGGCACTGTCCTTTTCTGTCTGTCTGAACTTCTGCTAACATGCCCAGACTTGTTGAGCACTCAGACTTCTCTGCTTGGAAAAGGATACTGTACAGGGAGAGAAAAGATTTACACATTGCTCACTTACATAAGCATGCAGTGAAAGAGAGCTCAAGTAAAAATATTGAAAAAATAGGACAAACAGAAATGTACAGATAGTTGAATATATGTCCCAATATCCATAAGATCTTGCTACAGGACAGGTATGCTGGGAAGGACTGAATTAGGGTATCTCTGGCACAAGAGCTTAGCCAGCATTAGGCTATTTATATTGAACTCCTGATATGCAGAACATAAGAGATGCCCTTCCTCTGTCTGGTATCACTTTACAGTTACACTTACTGAATTCATCCGGTTTGTACAGACTCAGTTTTAAAACAATATTAACACTTTATACTCTGCGTCTGTCTGTCTGTCTTTGCCTCACAGATATTCCAGACCAGTGCTCTCCTTCTCCCTGTAATGAAAGAGGTACGGTGCGTTGCGAGGACAAAAAGGGCGACTTCCTGTGTCACTGTTTTACAGGCTGGACAGGAGCCAGATGTGAGAAAGGTACTGTCATCATTGTGGAAAGTGAGACATAGTGTGTAGCTGGAGCTCAGCAGAGGTTGAGTTTTTGCACCATCATTCAGTGTCATTTCAAGGGTCTCTGGATAGATGTCTGGCCTTGCTTCTGACAGCCAACTGCTGTCCCATCCACCGATGGAATCACTTTTGTCCCATATTTGTCAAGTAATGTTATTGTTTCTCGTCAGTGGACATCTTAGTGGAGCTGTAATTAATTTGACCTTGGCAAAACTCAATTTCCTGTGTTTTTGTTTCACTTTTATCTTACAATTGCTACTGTTATTGTTCACATGCATTCTTAATATCCAACTACTGCTGTTATGAATGATGCATAAATGGTGTGTCAGGTCAATATGAACTGCATGTACGGGAACTGTGGTTATAGAGTTCATAACAGGAATCCATGAGTCTCTTCAGAGGTCAGAGCTAGTTACTATGTACAGATATGTGAACAGGCTGCATCTCCTCTAGAAAAAAATAGGGATTCCACTTTTAGAAAGAAAGTTTAACAAATATTAAGTGTATAAGCAGAAGTGGAAAGCATACATAATTTATGCACACACACTGTGAGGGAGAAAGAAACATATTTCTCTGATTTATGGCACAGCCGTCATTCCACACATTTCCACTGTGACTCATCCTGCCACCTTACTGTGAAAGGAAACCAAAACAGATTCAGTTTGACTTGGTCTGAGCCTTTTCCACTTGACGACCGCACTTCTCCTAAACACTCAGCTGCAACACTCAGCCACAATGACATAGTGTGTCAGTTATTCATAAGGCGTTTAACAAAGTACAAATTCATAGGATAATTATGTGAGCTTTTCAAACTGACAATTCATGCAGTCCACGCCTATTCAGAATTCCACTATTTAATGTTCACAACTGGTTATGTTCAATTCAACCTGATCCCAAATTACTATGGGAAATCTTAACACAAGCCCAACAGTCCAATGCGGTACACAACCCATGATGATGTTTTTCCTGCATTCATGTTGACTGTACTACCATTCTATTTGCAGATGTCGACGAGTGCAGCAGGAAAAATGGAGGGTGTGAGCATGAGTGTAACAACACTATGGGCAGTTACCGCTGCTCCTGTCACCAAGGCTACATGTTGGTAGGACGCCAGATGTGTAATGGTAAGCCGCAAACCATAGATGCACGTAGTCTAACAACTGTACTCATGTCAGTACTGTCGCTGCAAATAGCACTGTTTGACTGAGTCAGTCTGCATTTTGAATCCACATAGTACTATTAAAATTTGTATTTTATCAGTTATTGTTATATGAATATTTTCAATTCATTTTCAAGAATTTTGAATGTGTGAGTTTTTTTGCAGTTGAGGGTGCTAAAGTAATCCAATGAGAGTGTTGTTGTCTTGTGGCATGATTATGATTGGAAGTCCATAAAGAATGAATTCATTAGTTAAGGCAAAAACACTGTACATTACAAACTCATGTTGCACAAGCAATAATTGTTTAAACCCACAGACATTTAAAGTTTTGGGGTTTCCACAGAGAAATATGCATAAAATTAGGATAAAGACATTTAGAAATTTCCATTTGATTTGATGGTGCAGCCTCTAAAAATAGTGTCTTTGTTGTAAATATTTATTTCAGTGTTAAGTGTGAGTTTCAGTCAAATGCTTGAATGTATTGTGTACTGTAAATGATGTTGAAAAGCAGGGTGGAATAATCTATTGATCTAATCTTAAAGCTCATTTTAATATTGGGAAAACTTTGATTGAAGTGGTTAATCAACCAGGACAAGAATTTTCTATTTGTGTCTTTTTTGACACTAATGAGTAAAGGTACAAACAAAACCCCTGCATATCATGTCCTTTCAGCTGAGGTGTTGACTTAAGGTTTTCTTGTGGTATTGAATTTCCACCAGTCTTTGATGTGTCCATCTAACCACATTTTATGTCTTTCAGATGTGGATGAGTGTGAGGACACAGGTGTGTGTGGAACAGCACGATGTGAGAATAAGAATGGCAGCTATGATTGCTTGTGTGATATTGGCTATGTCTACGACAATGAAACCAAGAGCTGTGTTGGTAAGTGTGGACGCACACACAATAAAATGTACACACACACACACAAACAGACATAGTTTCATTAGAAGCGACTGAGGAGCAGCCTCAGCCTCAGCAGGACTTGACGCAGCTGTGTTGCAGGGTCAGGAAAGGAATGCAAAGAAATTTGGAGACATTCTGTATAAGTAGGTGACAGGTCACTGTCCACTGTTGTCCAGTCTGTCTCCAAATTAATTTCAGGAGTGAAATACACAGACTGACCCTGTGATTCACCTTGTTTTGATGCATAATGTAATTTCCAGAGGGTCTTTTTGATTTTAACTTTGGTCAGGACAGAAAGAGTCATAAAAGCAAAGCAGAGGAGGAAAAGCTGAAATGCACTGGTCAGAATTTACAAACACAGAAGACATGCCATAGGTTTATAGATTAGAGAAGTGTTTGTTATCTTAATCACACCAAATCATGCTTTACACATCCCGTAACTTAAAGGCCCATGACAGCTATCTGTGAAATCATGCAAAATCTTGAGGTAGCCTTGGAGCTCAATGACTGTAAATAAGAGCTCAAAATATACAAATCTGATCTTACATATGTCAAACAGGTTATATCCCATGTTCCTCCCAAAGTGCATAGTAAGGGATTACATAAAAACTGCTCAACATACACTCTAATTCACAAGAATGAACACCAGTGATAACGCCAAAAAATGTTGTCTTGTTATTTAATAAGATTACACAATAAGATAAAGTAATCATAACATCAGATTTGTTCATAACATGGACAAAGACTTCACTCAGTCATTAATCAGTTGTGTGCTGTGTTTTGCTCTGCAGTGGAAACCAGACTTTTCATAACCTCAGTGTCCCCCCTCAGAGAATTAACATTTATTATAGCCAACCTCCTCATGGCCATGTAAGGTTATATATGGAGGAGGGAGATACCGCCCAGTCATCGTCAAAGACCACTTGACTCAAGTGTTGTTTGCATTCCCTGATATGTTGACGGGAAAGAAATCAGATTCTTTCTTTTTTTTCATACATTCTTGTGGAACTGATGTTATTTTGATCCTTGAAAGTTGGTGTTTTGACTAAGTCCACCACGGATGTGGCTTTGATAACTTCATGAACTGTCTGCTTCTCTGTAACCCTTTATACCCCAGTCATCACTTTCATCTCTCCTCCTCTTTAATTTCTTCAACCTGCTCTGTCACCTCTCAGATGTGGATGAGTGCATGGCAGGTGTGTGTGCTGAGGAGTGTCTGAACACTCCAGGGAGTTTCCATTGCTTCTGTGATGGTCGTCAGGGCATGAAGCTGAGCCAGGACCTCAGGAGCTGTAAGGTGAAATACATTAACTGTTGCATATTAACCAGCCATTTCAGATTTCAGCTTCCACTTTTATTGTAAAATGTGAATCGTAAGCAACTTCTAGCATCTGTTAAACCATTTGGATGGGGTATCTGTACATCCAAAATGAAACTGAAAATAATTTTTTTTTATATCTGATTGCCGGTTGTTGGGAGATGTCACACACCTATAAACTAAAAATGGGATTGGACTGTGTGTGCAGGAGCCTGTTTAATCAATTTCTGTTTCAGTCAGCACCTTAAGTCACTGTGGCTACCGCTGACTAAAGTACCTAGGAGGCTCATCGTCTCTTAATGGTCAAGGGTCGATTTTAGAAAAAAACTTACATGAATTAATCAATTTTATTTTTTAATCCATCCATCCATTTTCTGCTGTTTGTCCAGGTGATTATGAATTATTGTTATATTGCTGGGAGGTGCTAAAAAAAGTAACATTGAATTCTATTTTTTTTCCATTACACTTTCATAATTTGGCTTCTAGACTCATGAAACTGATATTAAATTGCGTTCTTTGTGATAAAAAGTCTTAAATTGAACTTGGTGAACCCTTCAGAAACTCTGTTGTATGAGTCAAGCTGCAGCTTGTATACTGGTTCTAATGAAGTGGCAAAATACGTTATCTCCAGGTGGTTGTTTGTGTTTTCTCTTCCAGCCTATAACTCCCTGTTTGTCGCCGTCTCTGAAGAGGAACTCTCGTTCTCTTTACCTGGGCCGCATGTTCAGCGGTGTGCCAGTGGTGAGGCTGCGTTTCCGCAGGAGGATTCAAACTGGGTGAGAAAATTGTTCTGTCTTAATGTTCAACACTCTCAACGATTGTCTCCTGACAAACATATCACACTTGCCCCACATTTAAACCTTAGTTACACTGAGTGGAAAGACACACAAATGATTGAGTGGAGTGATCACACCTCTTCCAGCTCGCTTTATCATAGCAGTGAATGGTGTATATGTAAATAGTGTAGTGATCGCAACTTCTTTTTGCCAGACTTGTTTGTAAGTGTCAAGTATTTTTGCAGCAAAATATCCTAATGCTTCCTGAGGAAAAATGTTGAACTTGAACCATGTTACCTAACTTTCTGCTTGCTTGTTGATTTTTAAATGCATTAGAAGATAAAATAATTACTTTACTACTTTTTTATAAACAATAAGCTTCAGCTGGTCAGAGGTCTTAAAGGAGAACTTGTTTTTTACCATACATAGTCACTTTGTGAAGTTATATCAGCAATTCTAAAAATAATTTCTAATATTAGCGGGGATGAAAATGCCACTTTTATCAGAGTGGGTAAAAGATAAAATTATTTTGGTCACTAAAAGGAATTTCCTGTTTCTCATCTACCATCTCTTTCTCTCCCTTCTCTTTTCTTTTTCCTTTTATTTCACATGTATCCCACCTTACCTCTTCATTTTAACTTAATCATTCAAACACACATGCACATACCTCCATCTCCACCACTTCTAGCTTTTCAGCAGAATTCGACTTCCGCACCTACGATCCTGAGGGGGTGATCTTCTTTGCTGGAGGTCACCTAAACAGTTCCTGGATCGTACTGGCAATGCATCAAGGGAAGCTGGAGCTGCAGCTGAAGTATGGCATAGTCAGCAGAGTCACCAGCAGCGGACCCATCGTCAATGACGGCCAGTGGAGAAAGGTTAGAGGTTTCTGGCAAGGGCCCATCATGGAAAGTAATGCACTGTCTACAGTAGCTTCAGTAGCTTATTGAAAGCTTCCCAAATGTCTCATTTTCCCATCAGATCTCGGTGGAGGAGCAGGGCCGCAGTCTAGTGATTAAGATTGACAGGGAGGCTGTCATGAAGATCGCAGTAAATGGTGATCTGTTTACACTAAAGAAAGGCATGCATGAACTCAACCTCACCGTGGGAGGAGTCCCTTTCAGAGAGGATGGCCTCGTCAATCAGGTGTTTATTTGCACATGCTTGTGTATTTTCTCGAAAACAAAAGGAAATGTTCTTTACATATTTCTCAATTGTATTTATTTTGTAGGTGAACCCACGTTTGGACGGCTGTATGAAAGAGTGGCGGTGGCTGACAGGTGAAGACACCTCCATTCAAGAAACCATTCGGTCTAATGACAACATGCAGTGTTTCAGCACAGAGGATCCTGGAGCATACTATCCCGGCACAGGATTTGCTCTCTTCAACATCAGCTATGGTACAGTGTGTGTGTGTGTGTGTGTGTGTGTGTGTGTGTGTGTGAGTGATGCATAGCATGTTGGGGGCTTGCATAACTTAGTCTAATTTCTTCTTCCTGAAGCAGTTAGTCAATGTTTCATTTGTTTGGATAACTATGAGTTGGCTTCCGCCATCCACTACACTTTTGTCAACAGTTTGCCCAGGTTTTGTTTGTCGATAAAGTTCATGACTTGCTGTTCTTAACTTTCTGTTCTCCACACTTCAGAATCACAGAACCTGAGTGTCCAGTTGAAACTGCGTCCAACATCTGCTATCGGAGTGCTGTTTGTACTTGTGCACCAGGACAGAGTCCCTCTCTCCATCGCTCTGGCCGACTATCATCCTGGCACCGATGAATGGCGAGATGTGAGCTCTTTAAATCTCAACCCGCATATGTATTTGAAATTAGTTTGTTACTGTGTGTTTGACTTGAAAAACTGACCTTTTGTGTGCCTTCAGTTTGTTCTGGTATCCGCAGGTGATGCCATCATTGCCAGCTCCCCTGCTCCACTGTGTGATGGTGAGAGTCATGAAATCCAGGTGACAATCTCAGGCAACCAAACCTTACTGCTGGTCGATGGCCAGCCTGGACGAAGTGAAGACACCCAAGTTCCTACTGACCTCCTGTCTCAATCCAGCACCTTCATAGGAGGCCTCCCTGGTGAGGGCACACATGTATACACATTTTGCAGGATGTTGTTTATTTGTTATGAAGGGTTTTATTTACACAATATACAAGTTACTAAGTACCTTGGATGGAGCAGAACATGGTTATAAATTATCAGTAATTAAAATTCCTAATTATTGAAACAGGAATTTAAAGCTGGCATACATGATTTTATACTAAGGTGGAAATGAATGTGTCATAATTGATTCATACATTGAAAAATAAAAATGTCAGACATTTTCTTTTTTCAGAATATTAGAGGTTTGTCATTTAACAAACATACATACATTATTGTAGGTCATTCATGCATTTTACTTCTGTAAAGAAAAATGTGTGGTCTAGAATATGTACAGAAACAAAACAAGTATTTTGCACATTTTTAAAGTGCAAAGCCACACAAGCCTTCTTATATCCAGTTTTCTTGAGCTGATCAATGGAATAACCTAAAATTTAGGTTTTTCTGCCCAGTCTCTCTAAACACTCTGTCACAGTTTCCTTTGTTCTGTTAATGACTGTGTTGTACAGTCTCCAAAACATCCAACACATGTCAACAATAAATTACCTCACCCAGTGAACGATGAGAAGATGATGTTATGCAAATTCATAAGTGGCTTACTTTGTTAACTTGTGCTATAAATATATATGTATGTAGCAAACCATAGTTGTCACTTCTGCACTGAGTAAATAATTTTGCCAGAAATTACTCCAACATTCCCTGAACTGGAAAGAAAATATAAAATGGGTTTTGTGTTTTTTGCCAAATTGTTAGACAGTGCCTTGAAGAGAATAGTCATGTATATTGATTAAAGGTCCAAGTGTTGGTTAATGTGTTTGCTGAGTCTGACAGATTCAGCACTTTGAATAATACTGTTTACATACTTGTGGTTAGGTCACAGTTAAGGCACCCACACAATCCGTCATGTTCTCTGCTTGTTCACATGTTGTCATTTTTTCCCTCAGATGACATTCCTCTGGTGTCCACACTGGTGTCAGCGCCCTACAGTGGATGTATGGAGGTCAGTGTAAATGGACAGTCTCTGGACTTGGACCAGGCCATCCATAAACACAACGACATCCGCTCACATTCCTGCCCCCTGCTGGACTCTCACCAGTGACCAGCGTGTCACTCTGCCAAAATTGATCCATAAGCAGTTGATTGAGGCAATGGGGATGATATCCAATATATTTATAAAAGCTTTGAGCAGTGGGGAGATGTTTTAGATTGGAATGTAAAAAAAACTAGACCCAGGTATTGTGGTGCAGGTGGAGCCTTAGCCCAGGATCACCCTGTCCTTTTACTGTGATGGCACTGCTTCCTAGAGGCATTTGCAGGGATTTTCACGGTATTGTAAATCAGTAGGTTAGTTAGTTAGCCAATGGGCAACATCCCCTGTACTAGGCAGAAGAGTTGGGAATAAATGCTGCACAACATTGCCTCAAGAACTGCCCATGTATCACAGCCTTGTAAGCCCACAAGAACACACAGGGCCTTATCCAGATCTATGTTAAATAGTGGGTCTTGGGTCAGGCATCCTGTGCCTGGCATACGCCTGGCATCCTGTGCTTATATGCAGATCTGGCTGGAACTTTGTAGGCAGAGTGACTCTTCACTGCAGCAACTCAGCTGATAGAGCTGTGGTCATGTTGCTTACATCCAGTTCACCTAAGGCCCACGCTCACAAAGCTTGAAATAATCAAGTGCTAATGTAGAATCTGATGAAATGAAAAAAAAAAAAATGGGGACCAGCTAAAAAAGTCCTACATCAGCCGAGAAACTGTGCAAACAGGTGGTCAGATCTTTGTGAGTGTTTGGTGTATAACGATTTAGGGGTTGATTGGGGACTAAATCAATATTATTTGCTCCTAACAAGCTGAATGCCCTCCTTCACCAGAGCATGAAGGTGTGGTATTAGGCACAACTTTGTGTTCTGTAGAAAACCTTGCACATTGTTGCAGGTAGAAATGGACTGCCACGTGAAGCCATTTTCTTGATTTCCATTCGACGAAAGCAGCACTCCATGTCTGCCTGCAACCTTAAAAATCAACCGTGTGCCTACAAAAAATAACCAACCCAAACTTCTCGACAGCTTCCCTCTAAACAGGTGAACCGTTTCACAAAGGTGCAGTACTGTAACACACAAACAGAGCTAACACTTTTCCTGATGAAATGTTGTACTCATTACATCTAACACACTATGCATTTCCACCTGTGCATTTTGAAGTATTACAGTCTGTTAAAGAACTGACCGACAACCTGATTCTCAAGAATCTTTAATCTGACTTCATCACAAAGGCCCCTTCTTTCCCTCAGAATCACCCACTCACAGTTAATACCTGCCATATACAATTTGAGGATGATAGATTAGTCACAGAAGCACAGGGAGACAGGAAGGGGCCCGCTCCATGAAGGAGAGAGAGCACTGCATCAATCGCACCACACAAGCTACTGAAAGTAAAAAGAGTGCGCTGTAAAATACTGAATATGTAAATAATGTGACTGTACAATGCTTTATAGAAGACAAAAAACAAACACTACCTTATGCTCACTGAGGTTTTCTGCACATTTAAGTTGATCCAAAGTTAAACACTAATCCATGATTCTTTTCTTGAAATGGGAATTGGGAGACTGTGAGAGCAATAGCCAGGGATCAAAGTACCGTAACTCTGTAGGGACTGAGTTTTTCATTTTATAGGTGCTGAGCAAATCAAAACACAATAAAAACAAAGAATGTCAGAGGAGCATTGCGATTGAGAATGCCAAAAGGGCTCCAGTGTTATTTTACTTTCCTCTCTAATGTTTCGTTTTCTAGTTTTCTGATGAATGAATGCCAGAATATAGAGCTTGACGTTTTAATTTTTTTTTTAATCATGTGTTGTATATTGAACTTCTCTTTAGTTTTTATTTTTCATGTTAACTGCCAGTATGTGTACAATGCTGAGAGAAGTCTGCCTTTTGAGTTTTAACTTCCTTCAACAGTGAAAATCCTATTTAAAAACAAAAATAAAAGCAGTTGTATGAACATTATAGAGTAAAATTGTATTTTCAAAAAAAATGTTTGTATGCTGTGTGGTTATGTTAAAGATAAACTTTTCATGTCCTGCTCCGTGTGTGACATGTCATTATTGTCCTAAACTCAAGGTTTACTTACTGAACTAGCTTTTGACGATACAGCTTGTAAAAAACGCTCTTTAGCAAATGGAAGTTTCTATGGTATCTTCACATAGTATAAATACAATACATCTGTCATGTGATCACAAGTGGTTGTATATGTGATTGACATTGTAACACCTCTTAAACCAACTGTTGCATCTGTTTACAGTGCAGCCAAACAAGCTCTTCATCTAACCACTCACTATAATAGTGTTTCTGTGAATTCCTTGTATTTTAATCCAGCATAGGATTGGTGGACTCTGCCATTAACTAAATGAAAAATACCAAATAGAGAGATAATTATAGAATGCAAATACTTTGAATGGCTAGTGTTGGAAAAAGTGGCAACCATAAATAGCATCTAATACAGGGTTTGAATTCATGAAAATCCTGGATTATTCATTTAATTCTGTAGGTGGTGGTTGAGAAAGTTGATGAGGGGTTACTTTACCTCTGACACCTATCACGTGACAGATGTTTAATAAAACCCATGATGACAACTGATGCAGTTACATGTGCTTAAAAAGGATTTGTTCAAAAGCTCTGAAAATATGTAGTAGGTGAACCTTGAGTTTAGAATAGTTAATCACTCCCAAGGTAAAGAGATAACCTCCACGCCAATGAGTTAGGCTACATTATCAGGCAACTGAAAAACTTTCTTTTTTTTTTTAAAGCAAGCTCATTTAAGTGGTAATGAGGGAGTAAAGGTAAATGCTGACATGTAGTGCAACAGTAGCCTAAGTATTGAAGAATGTCATAAAAAGTCTGGTAACTATCAGTACTGTGCAGTGCCTACTTCATGTTTGCTATCATAAGTCACTAGTTATACCAGACCAAGTAAGGCCAAAGTAATAACACCAGAGTGTATTGAGTTGAGCAAAATCATGTTTTATTGCAGGGGCGGAGCCAGACATTGTGAGCATTCGGGGCTTAGCCCTAACTTCAGTCTATATTCTGGGAACATGCTCCATTGGGGAATTTTTTCCCCAGTCACAGCATTACACCACGTACACCATTTGTACATCATTTGGGGAAAACATGATAGTTGCCCAGGAAAAAAATTCATCCTGAGCCTGCATCATCTTAAATTTCTTTTAAGGAATAGCATCATAGGATAAACAACATGGACATGTAGTGTAACGTTATCATACAATATTTTATTTGATCTACTCCTGATCACACTGTTCTCATTTCCTCCTCTTGTCTTCTTCTTTCACTCTCTCAACTCCACTCATTTATCCCTGGAAATGTCCGCCACTCAAAGAAAATATAAAACAACAAAAACAAGATTTTTAATATTTCTGATCATAAACTGAAGATGTAAAAATATTAAATGCATATCTTATTCTCTTACACCTGCTCCACCTCTGCTCCCCTTTCTTCCTCTTTTCCACAATCCTGTCTTGTAGATGAAGATACATTGTAAATGGACCACATTTCATATCCCTCCAACCTGTATAGAGATAACTGGTGTCATTTGTTTTATTGTTGAGTTTATTGTAATCATTCAGTCCTTTTATGGAAGGTGTTTTACATTTACAGATTACACATTTATACACAGATTGTCAATCTGTTCACACAAATAACATTGGGGCAAATCTACCTCCATACCTGTTCCTCTTCCTCTTCACCTGCTTTCCCCACAAGTTTTCACATCCCATTTCCCCTTCCCTTCTTCATTCTTTTCCTCCCCTCCTCTTTCACTCCTTCCTTTCTACTCTTTTCTTCACTCTTCAAATCCAGACTTCCTCCTCCATCCTTTTCTCCTGGTTCATCATCACATATTTTCCTCCTCTCTCCTTCTCTTAACTTTAGCTTTTCACTCTTTTCTCTCTGCCCCAATCATCACGTCACCTATTGCTGCTTCCTCTCCTGGTCCACAGGTCGCCCTGTTCTTTCCCCTTTGCTCTCTTGCTCATTTTCCTCTCATGGCTTGCCCAGTGCGCGGAAAATGAAACCATCAAGTGTTTTGCTTCAAGCCTGAATGCTCAGCGAGTGGTCGGGTGACCTATAAATGGCTATTACCTCAGTAAAGTACTAATAGAGCTCCACTGATTTGCCGGTCCAGTCAGAGCGGAAATGACACCAAGTTGAAGTTATATTATAAACTTCATATAAGATTCAAGGCTTTTGGGAAAACATCTGGGGCTGAAGCCCCATAAGCCGCCCCCCTGCTCCACCTATGTTTTATTGCTTATGAATTCAACCTTTTCTAAGAGGAAGACTGTTATTTCTTCTTTAATAAGTTACGTAGTCTTGATTTAAGGTGAAACTGCAGTGAAACCAACTGGTACTGTTAGTAAAAGTACTACTGGTGATATTTTTAAATGTGGGATTTTAAATGTTTATTTCAATATTTTTGGGAAATTCACTGTCTTGCTTAGAGATAAAATTGATACTACTCACATGTTGGTGCTTCTTTTTTACCACACAAATACGAAAGTGGTACTGATATTCTCTTCTGACTGTTGGCAGGTAAACAAATAAGCGTATTTCGAAAAATGCTGAAGCCTGTACTCTACATCTATTTTTATGCATCAGTGAATGTAGGGATTTCTAATAGGTGCCTCTTTAATACATAATGTATTTCATAGCAGTAACAGCTACATACTCCTATCTCACAGCAGTTAGCATGCATTATCAATTATATATACAGTAGGCTATATTAACTATAAAGTGCACATTAAATGATTCAGCAAAGTAACAGCAACACCAGCATCATTTACTCCAGTTCACATTTCAAGAAAGCCCTTTTAATTGCTTGTACGGTAGTTAGCATAGTGAGATAAAACACAATACACCTGTAATTCAATCAGCACAAGGTTTAACAGAAACAAATGTCAGATCACAGTGAAGTGTATTAACCTATGTAATATCTGAAGGCCAGCTTAAGGCTTGACGGAAAAGGTGGACAATTGGGGAAATACGCTTACTCGCTTTCTTGCTGGTAGTCAGATTTTGTTATGTTTGGAAAGAGCCAGGCCAGTTGTTTCTCTTTTTCCAGTTATAATGCTAAGCTTAGCTATGCTTAACAGCTGCTGGCTGTAGCTTCATATTTACCTGTAGGTGTGACAGAGGTATCTAACTTTCAGCACGGAAGAAAATAAGCGTTTTTCTAGGACTGTTTCCATTTAATGAATACACATGAAATAACTTAGTTATGTCTATACAATCACACTAAATAGCTATAAATCTGTCTCTCTTCAGTTCGAATCCATCAGACACATGAGACATAGCATTTAAATCAGGAATTGTGATGCTCACTTGAGTGTTTTCCATCTACAAGGTCACCTATGAAATGTCTTGTGCTACATTCAGTCTGACCAGATCAATGTTTTTTCACATGCCCCATATGTTTTTTCTGAGACCTCAGCAGGCGTAAGGAGGTGGTTTCTCAAAGGGGCTGTAGGAGGATCCATAGAGGACAGGAGCGTTGGGAGTCAGCATGAAGCCTCCTGGTTCTTGGTTGGCTCCCTGAGGTTGTGGTTGGGTGGGAGCCTGAGAGGGCTGCTGGTTCTCCTCAGACGGGCAGGAGGTGGAGGTAAGGCCTCCCTCAGGGATTAGCTGGGGTGTAGCAGGTGCCTGGTAGTTGTTGTTATGCTGAGGGAGAGGAGAAGAGACAGGGAGTGGTAGGTTGTTGCAGTATGTGGAAGTAGAGCCAAAGATACCTGAAATTATTTCTTACATTTTTATGTGAGGTGTGGTTTTTACTTTGATTTGTGTAGTTTGGTTCTCTGGTAGCAGCCATAGAAATATCAGCAAAGATTAGACACCATCAATAATAAATTTTACACATTTCAAACAAAGTCACTATGATATAAATAAACCAATGCATCTCCTGAATAAGGGTGGTTGGCTTATTTAACAACTACAGCAGAGGTCATGGTTCAGTTTATGGCCCATCAATCAGGCATTCCTGTTCTCAACAGGCTCTTGGATGATCACTATCACAGTCTACAGCCGTGCCAGTTGTTCTGTGAGGGTGTTTGGACCTAAATTGCCAGTTTTATTTTATTTATTGTTGTTTGTCAGTTGTTTGGTCGTTAAAACATCAGAAAGTGAATAATGAATATAAGGTGTTGTTTTCAGATTTTGTCCAGCAGCCCAAAACCCAAAGATAGTCAGTTTACTACAAAGTAAGACTGGAAAAAGTAGCAAATCCTCACACAAGTTTTGCAGGTATCCATCTGTGTATCCATGTGACGTGGCAGCAGTGCAGATTAATAGTTTTCTCTCTGGTCAAGTGCTTTGATGTTAGAGTGGAACAGCTGTGCAAGTGCAGCAAAAATAAATTTGAGCCAGTGATACTCATCTGTTTGCCAAACCAATAGAATGGAATGTGAAATAGGTATTTTTTCACAGGAGACATTTTTACCTGTCGCAGCAGGTAAAACATGAGTGTTACTAAAAACATTTGCAATGGCTCTGTTCTTTTTAATTTCCCCGATGAGCCATGACAGTGTAACAGTGAAACCACAAGTGTACGATATCATGACCCTGAAACTAAAGCAGCTAAATGGAATTCAGCCAACATTCATTTTATTATTTACACCTGTGCTTTTCCTACTGTGTTTTTCACTGAATGTTTCTTTTTTCTTTTTTTTTTTTTGGTTTCTTGCCCCCACCTGCACTGGTATTGGATAGTTGGGGTAGGCGGGCAGAGTCTGTCCTGAAGGACAGAAGCCAGCGTAGGTGAGCATGTGCTGGGTCGGGTTGTACAGGATGTGGGGTGGCGGTGCCGGGCTGGGAGCCATCTGAGGAGTCGGCTTCTGCTGCAAGAAACAGCAAACGTGTTTGGGATAAGATGGTAAATCATCAAAGGAAGCTGGAATGCAAATGTGAGTGAGTGTGCCCCAGTTACACACGAACCACACACACTTCATTATATAAGAGGTATGACAGCTGCCTGTTGTACTGTAGGAACCATAATAATAAAACCAGGACCATTAAGATTAACACAATAAAATCAAAGATTTTCATGTCTTTGAAACAGATTATTAGACTGCTCTTCATGCCTGAAAAACTGCATTTTAGATTGAGTTTAGAGTTCCTTCAAGTATGAGCAATACAGATATCTGCCTATGAAGCCTTAGTAAAGTAATAGAGGAAAAAAAAAGTTAGATTATTAAAAAAAAAAAAAAACATTAAAAATGCAAGTATACAGCAAAGTACATTATTCAGTTGATTCTTTTCGACAGTTCAATCTCGTGTTAATTCAGGAATGGTAGTGATCGGATTCAGCTTAGGGCGCTTCCTCTTTCAGTGAAAAATCTAAACTTTAGGGAGTTTTGAAAGAAGCTCTAGTGAGAGACATTGTAAGTTCAATTTGTGGTTATTGAATTATTAAAAAATATTCTAATGACACTTCCCGATGGTTTACACAGAGGCAACAAAACAGCTTGTTATTCTGTGTGACCTGTGGGCAATAAGGAAAGGTAACTAGTATTGAGCATAATAAAAAGCCTTCATCATCAATGTAATACTACAAGGTTTTTATTTTGCTCAGTACTCAGTCTGCCTTTACATCTTGTCTAACTTCTTGTCTATAAAGATTTATAAAGGACTCCAGCTCACCATGTCCTTGTATGCTCCGAGGATGGCAGCAGTGATAATGCCCAGGAACAAGCCAATCACGTTGAGCACCACTGAGGCCCACAGCAGACGATACAAGTGGATCACATCCCAGCAGCTGCTGACACCAGTGAACTCATAGTACTGTGTGTGGTACTCTGTGCTGGAGGAAGAAGAGAAGAGCACTGGTCAGTATTTTAGTTGCTATAAATCACAAAGCATGTATACCTCCCTCACAGTTGATATTTTGACCTGTCACAGCAGGAGGTGCACAGGTGTAATTAGTATCACTAATGGTTATGTTTCATTCAAGTGTATCACTGGAACAGATGATGATAAATGGAGTTCAGCTCTTATTGATTTAATGATTACCACTGTATGAACACCACTTTCCACTTCATATCACAGGTGTTTTAATTTCAATTCTTCCAGACAAGGAAGAAAACAAAGAGCACCGCACACTGTCCATCACTTGAACTCACTCTATTACATTTTAAACCTTCCAGGCAGCTGTTTATCAGCTAATGACTGAGTGATGCTATGGTTGCAATCAGGAAAATACTTTTTCTGAAGCTCTCCATCCTTCATATTCTTCCTTCCTTCAAAATCTTGGAAGGATAAAAATATAAACCTCCGCAAGGCAAGGAAGTGCCAAAATCACATGATCCATGTCAGCCTGTGTGTGTCTTGTAAGAGTGATTTTCCAGCAGCACAGCCTGTACATGCAATTTTGGCAGCTAGCACAGAAATCCAGGACAGTGATTTTCCACCAGGCCCTGCTGTCATTTATAATTAAGCTCTTCCAGTATAGATGATGGATGGTTAATCTACATCTCTATTTCCTCCTCTGAGCAGACATGTGATCACAGTCTATCTTCAAAGTTTTTTTCTCACTTCGCTGTGAATAGTAGGAAGTCACTTGATAGATATGTCTTATTGCTCACAGACAGCAAAGAACCTTTTCAGCCTTAAGTTGGTGCTTTAGCCTGTGAACACCTTGTCGCTCACCTCTCACAGTTGTACAGGTAGCAGCAGTAGCAGGTGTTGCTCCTCAGTTTCAGCTTGCATGCTTTGTCGAATGAACGGCACGTCACCTGCAGAGTCAGTGAGGTTTGATGACTTCAAATATTCTCCGAGCTTCACTCATTTGTATTATGTTTTATTAACCTCATGGAAATGATACAAGTTTGGAGAAAGAAACACATGACCAGAAAGTAACTGACTGTATGCCAACATGTATCCAGAGTCTCTGTTTGCTTGTAATTTGGTTTGATGACAAGTGTTTGTTGCTGTCAGTAAATCTGTGCAGTAACATTATCTGACCACTAGATGTCATTACGCACTATGTGAAACTTTCAACGAAGAACAATATATTCCTATATTAACCTTAAAATGCATTCAAACCATCATTTACACCATTTAAAAGACAACAACTGAGACACAAAGGTAAAGCAGTGTGGAGGAGGAGGAGGAAGACTACAACTAAAGGTGAATAAAAACCACAGGTTAGGGTACTTATACAGTGCAGACAATGTCAGGTGGTATATGAAGTGTATATACATTACAGCATACAACACGACTGAGTACACCCCTGGTCAATATGACTAAAATGTTAAGTAATTAGAAATCCTTTTCATTTAATTCAATTATATTCGTTTTTAGACAAAGAACGAGAAGAATGAAGCCAAATTCATCTGAAAAGCACAAATGTTGGACTAATTAAACTATAAGGAAAGGTCCATATTAAAAAACTGACTGCAACAAAAGTCAGTACACCCTCCATTCGTGTGATTCCAGTCATTTATTTTTGCCATATTTTGTATGTCGGCCTTTATTTTTGATCTATAAATGTCATCTTATCCCCCACAGCTTTTGCACTCATGCAGCTGCCGGATCAGTCACTGACAGATGATCCATCCTTGTGCTGAGTCAGAAACACTTACCCGTCTGTTTTTCAGTACAAAGATGTGTAAATAACATATGTCATTTTTCAAGGACGACCACTGCGTCTTCTCTTATTGGTAATTTGGCTCTTCTTGTACCATGTGGACCCATGTTGCATTAGACACAACCCAAACTGAGGAAGCTGATGTGATGTTCACAGGTTCTTTTATAGTCTTGTTCATGCATTTAGCCTTGTACCTTGCCGTGTACTCACTCTTGTTGCAGTTAGGTTGTACTTTAGGGCCTGTATTCAATGTAGTGTAATCAAATACCCTACACTTCTACTTACAAAATAAGACAATTATTGTAAGATGACACAGTAACATTGTAGTCATATTGCACACAGGTGTACTCAGTTTTGTTGTATACTGTGTGTATGAGAATCACCTCTGTGTAGTAGCTGTCGTAGGCGTAACCCGATCCACTGGCATAGAAGTCGCACATGTCCTCCTGCAAGGGTCTAATGTCCTGTATGTGTGAGTGTGTTAGAAAGATCAGAAAGAGAGAAGACTTGTTAAATACATAAGCCACAATTAAACAGGGACTGAAGTACAAGTTAATCCACTTATCATACAGCACAACTGTTTTTCTTTAGAGTAGATCTCTATGATTTAAAGGTTTGAATTATATACTTTCCCTTGTGTGTCCTGTAAAGTTACATGTGTGTGAATTTGAACCATGTGTCCATCCTCCTCCTGCTTCTCTGTCACTGCAGCAGTGAAGGTTTACAACATGTTCTTGCTCTCAAAAGTGTCCACTGCACCGGACTGCAAAACCTCCAGCACTAAACCTCACTGGACTTTATATAATGTGAAAGGTAATAAAATCATTTTCATTGTCCAAAGCCTTGGAGGTGCAATAAATATGACTTTTACTGTCCCGTGAGCACAAAAGAAATATATCTGCAAGGGTTTGATAGCACTGCTGATCAATATCAGTGACTCAGGGCCAGGTGCTGGGAGGTCCACTGTTCCTGGTCCGTACTCATTAAGATACTCATTAAAATTCATTAGGCTGATGTGACAAACTCAGGTGTTTGTGTGTGTGTATCCAACATTTGATGTATCCAGGGATGAAGCAACAATGGCCTTATTTGACCTCTCTGCATTTTCAGTTCATTCCCACATAAACAAATGCAGATATTTGCGCAAATATAATTACACACATATAAATTTCATCTGGAGTTTTACTGTGGGAGAGAAAGACAACGTGCTGATAAAGTGACAGATTATGAAAGTGCTTTTTGACTTCTTGAGGCTGCTACTTATTAAATACAAACATTATGTAATAGTTGACATAGATGTATATGTAGTGGCAAGGAGAGAGAGGGAAACAATATTTGTGGAATTGCATTTTATGTGATACAGTAAATTTCAATAAAAGATATATTCCAAAATATTGGGTGAAACTATAAAACAGCCTGAGCTTTTACACTGCCATTGCGTTGTATGAATAAGGTACTAATACCATAGTTAGCAGTTGTTACTGGTACTTAAATATAGATACAGTAGAAGAAAACTAGAATAATTGGACCTATGGGGACAAGGGAGTAACTACTGGCCATTTTAGAGGAAAGGAGAAATAAATGCTTTTGTTTGACACTTGATAATAAATCTCTGTAGTGTGAGTGGAACTGAGCTCCCCTCTTTTATATTGTATTTTTTCCTACAAACGAATAAATTTTTTAGTGAATGCAACTACAACGTACAGTTTACATTACACAGTAAGAATAAGGTTGGGGCTGTAATATAATGTGGTTGTTTTTTTTACTCTTTATAGAAAATTGTAAACACCCCATTTCCCAAACTTTTGTTTTCTAATGTTTTACCAATTACTGTGTGTACACCAAATCATGGAAAATATATTATCTATTCTCTATTCTGTTAAAATATGATATGAAGATAAACATGTTTTTATTTTAATGTAATTGACTTTGGTTGTTTATTATATTTACTGTATGTTTGTTTGAATCAGAATACAAGAGTTTACAGTGGATGGATAACTTTTGGTCACATGTAATCATCCCTGTTGTGCTGAATGTTTCCTTCAGCTCTTCAGGTGACCCAGCCGCTCTCTGCAGGTCCGGCACTGAGATGAGTTTATCTGGTTCACATGTCCAGAGTCAAATCTGTCTGATTGCATCTACAAAGTTCCTGATTTTACTATGGTGTCTGTGCCAGTCTCTGATTGGTGTGTGAACGTGTCAGAGTTTGTTCAGACAAAAAAAAAGAAAAGAAAAGGCACATGAATACATGTAAAACTTACAATGAACTCTGAAGCGATGATCCCATCCACAATGGCGCAGAAGAAAGACGCGATGACTCCGATACTGATGAAGATGATGGCTGCCATGAGCTTAAGGAGAGGTGGAAGAGGATGAAGAGAATGTATGGGAAGAAAAAAAAGAGGATACGGTCATGAGAAGTAATCTTGGAAGAAAGAAAAAGTAACCACATTAGAATAAATAAGCATCAAAACAGTTATGAGATTATCTGTTTGTGTTTTGTGTTATTTGAATGCACAACTACTAAGTGTCTTTCCATTACTTGGAAACACATTTCTGACACTTTTCTTATTCAAATAAAAAAATTCTCAATAAGTAAATGCACAAAAGTTGAAAAAATTAGTCAAATAAAAATGAATCAAGAAATAAAGCCACTAATAATTGGTAAATCTGATGTGGAAATCTTGAATTTGCAAATTTCCAGTATTTTATTCTGTTTTAATTAAGTTCTTAAACATAACAATAAACTCAAAGTTTACAGAGGTAAACATAAAGACAGAGGACACATCATTGATCACTTATTGACATATGTACATTTATTTATAAATCTACTTTCTACTTTTTGCAATATTGTGTCAGAATATCGTAATTTAATTATCCTGAGTATTTAATATTTTTTTCTTATTTATTAATTCATATGCTGGAATTTGTATGATATAAAGGCAAAATCCAGATTGAAGTCAAAGTTTATGTAAGCTTAGTGTCTCTGCTGGTGTGTGTCCTCGTCTGCAGTGTCAGGGCTGCAGAACGATAAAGGAAATGTACGGCCTCTTGCTCTGCCAACACAGAGGTGCTTTGTGGGTAATTTATGGGGAAAGAGGCAATGTACAGGACAGAGGGACAGCCTTTTGTACCAGCAAGGTCAATCTAATTCTCCCAAACTGAAACACACACACACACACACACACACACACACACACACACACACACACACACACACACACACACACACACACACACACAGCAAGGAACAATCTTGCACATTCAAACAGATCTGTAAATTAAGCCTAAGAATCTGATCACTGATCAATAAACCCAAATCTCAACGATGTGAAACACTTCTCTTCTATAAAGCTTCTACTGTAAGACATATGACACACACACACACACACACACACACACACACACACACACACACACACACACACACACACACACACACACACACACACACACAAACAGTTCAGTAGACCCAGCTGGCTGATCACAGATGTCTGATCATAAACTTTATCACTGAGCATCGTTTCCTGTCTGTTCAATCGCTCCTCCAGGACCAAACCTCCTGCACTGAAACATAAGATTAAACACACGCACTTTGTTCTTTCATCTGCTGTATCCATCTACCTGAAACAGCATATGGGATAGGCTTCAGCAGTTTGTCACAAAAATTAAGAACAGTTTAAAAAACATGTGTATTTCTATCAAGGGCGTAGGTTTGGTGTCAACATTGATAGGGACACAACAACCCTGTCACCCGTCCAAAATGGTTTAAGTGTGATGGATAATGGTTCAATTGCTAGGGCAAATAATAAGGGGCTTAAAGGGCAGGCTTGACAAGTAAATCTGTGTAGCACTATGACGTTTTTATGCTTTACTATACTATGAGTATGCTATATTATGTCTTACTGTAGGCTACTATGATGTTTTTATGCCATTTTATAACTTACTATACTTTGATGTTTTTGTGAAATTTAATACCTTCTTATACTATGAAATTTTCAAACCTTATGATACTAGGATTTTTTATGACATACTATACTGTGACGTTTTCATGAGAAATTATGCCTTCCTACAGTATACTATGACATTTTATGTAAGACTATACTATGACATTTTTTTGACATTTTATACCTTGCTATACTATGACATTTTACGCCTTACTATACTATGACATTTTATGTAAGACTATACTATGACGTTTTTTATGACATTTTATACCTTACTATACTATGAAGTTCTATGCCTTACTATAATATTATGTTTTTATGCCTTATTATACTATGACCTTTTTTTTTGACATTTTATGCCTTACTATACTATGACATTTGGTGCCTTACTATAGTATGACATTTTTTTTGACATTTTATACCTTACTATACTATGACATTTTACGCCTTACTATACTATGACATATTATGACATACTATACTATGACATTTTTTTTGACATTTTATGCCTTACTATACTATGACATTTGGTGCCTTACTATAGTATGACATTTTTTTTGACATTTTATACCTTACTATACTATGACATTTTACGCCTTACTATACTATGACATTTTATGACATACTATACTATGACATTTTTTTTGACATTTTATACCTTACTATACTATGACATTTTATACCTTATTATACTATGACATTTTATGCCTTACTATACTATGATGTTTTTATGCCTTA